ATACATATATATTTATGACAAAGATTTAGGCAACCTGGTGGCGCCGTTCGATTTTACTCGCTCTTCCACGTAACCACCAGAAAAATAAGTAATTGTAAATAAATAGTAGACATAACAAAATATAACTAAAACTAACGTAACTAAATAAAAACTAAAAACTAATACAACATACAACTAATGCAACTACATAGTTCTTTGTGATAAAATGGACTGTTTTAGATGTTTGCGAAAAGATGATACAGTGGGGGCATTTTTGATATTAATATCAATTTTATTATACAGCTTCGCGGCATTGTAGGAAAAATATTTTGAATACTCGGCATAGCGGTGCCTCGGGACAGTATACAGATTCCGGAATCTTGTGGAGCGGCCATGAATAACATTACGTTTCACAAGCTTGTCATGTAAATATGCAGGAGATTTGTTTTCATTGACTTTATAAATCAGGGAGGACATACGTAGATCATACTGTTCACTTAATTTGAGCCATTGACACTCTTGATAACATGGTGTTACATGGTCGAATTTTTTCAAACCAAATGAATACCTTAAACAATTGTTTTGTACTTTCTGCAGAGAATATTTGTCAGATTGTAATAAGCAAGGCCAGTAGACGGTAACACAATAACTTAATGACGACATAACTAAGGTTTCACATAATTTTAATTTAATTTCTTTGCAAAGAGAGTCTTTATGCATATAAAGTAACTTCAATTTCCCATAAGACTTTTTAACCAAATAGTTGACATGACTCTGAAATCTTAAGTTAACGTCTAGATATACGCCCAGGTTTTTACAATCATCTTGAGGTTTTATTATTTTACTATTTAAAAATATCTGAAAATCAGGATGCACTCTAATTGTTTGTCTCTGTTTACCAAATAAAAGTAACTGTGTCTTTGCTTCATTGAGAATGAGTTTATGAGCAATACAAAAGTTAGACATTGACTTTAAATCTGCATTAATTCTATCAACCGCATTATTAATTTCATTACTTGCAAATGAATGATAGATTTGCGTGTCATCCGCATATTGATGTATCTGACAACTCTCTAAATAGGTATCCAAATCCGCAGTATAAATAGAGAATAAAAGAGGACCTAAAATACTTCCCTGTGGTACTCCTTTGCGAATAGTTTTGAAATCAGAGTATTGACCAGAGCATACTACCCGTTGACGCCTGTCACATAAGTAATTTTTGAAAAATAAAGTTGGTACATTACCAGCGCCAAAGTATTTAAGTTTTTGGATAAGTAAATCATGGTCTAAGGTATCAAATGCTTTACTTAGGTCAAGCAGAATTAAACATGTATTATAATTGTTATCATTCGATTTAAATATGTTGTCAGTAACATCTAAAAGAGCTGTTTCAGTGCTGTGATGCTCCCGAAACCCAGATTGATGGGGAGGTACCAGTTTATTATTTGTAAGGAAATTATTAAATTGCTCAAAAATAATTTTTTCTAAAACCTTAGACAGTGTTGGTAGTATGCTGATTGGTCTAAAGTCAACTAAATCCGATGAACTGCAAGTTTTAGGTATAGGATGTATATTAGCATCCTTCCAGATATCAGGAAATTCACCAGAAGACAAACATTTGTTAATTGCGAAAGTAAAATAATCAGATATATGCGGAAAAAATAACTCTAACATTTTTACATTCAGACCGTCTACGCCTATAGCGTTAGATTTCAGCTTACTTATAATAGTATTCACCCTTACACTGTCCACTTGACTGAATTCGAAACACTCAACGACATTGGTGTGTCTTGTTTTATACTTATCTAGAACATTTTTTATATTTGGATCTAAATTATCCGATAGATTTGGTATAATATTTATGAAAAATTCATTAATTGTATTTACATCTTCAAAGGGACATAGTAAGTTTTTATTTTTAAGATTTATTTATTTAAATGCTTCATTGAGGCCCAAAAACTTTTTGGATCAGTCTTAAATTTATGCTGCAGATACGCCTTTTTTTCGACCTTAACAGATCTGTTTACAAAATTGCGCATTTCTTTATACTCTGTCCAATTCTGTTCAGTCTTATTTTGTTTATATTTAATTAGAGCTCTATCTCTATCTCAAATGTGGTACACGCCTTCTATTCATCGAGATGCATTTTCTGATGTACAAACAATTTTATTAATTTTGCCAGTGGCGTCTGTACAGGTTTTGTATTGAATATTTAAAAAAATATATATATGTTACGCCACTGCTTTTTCTTAAAATAAAAATCATTTTTGAAATCCTCATTCCTTTCTGAGCAAATGTGGTCAGACAATCATTTAAAAGAAGTACACCGTACTGTAAGAAAAGAACACCAGAAATTGAGATAGCGGTTTTGAATTCAATTGAGGAAGATCCAACATTAAGTACAAGAAAAAGTGGGAAAAATTTAAATGTCTCACATATTCTTATTTGGAAAATTCTCCACGACTTTTCATTATATCCGTACCATATCCAACGGGTTCAAGCTTTACTACCTCGCGACTTTCCATTACGGATAAACTTTTGCCAATGGTTTCTTCATAAAGTGAATGAAAATCCATTATTTGACACTGAAATTTTATTCACCGATGAAGCCAACTTTTCCAGAAACTCCATCCAAAACTTCCACAACAATCACATTTGGGCTTAAGAAAACCCACATGCAATCTTGGAATCCCGCCATAGTTTTGTGGGTTGGAATATGCGGTGATTATTTAACTGGACCATATTTTCTTCATAAGAGATTAAATGGACATAATTACCGGCATATTCTCGAAGAAGGATTGCCAGGTTTGATGGAGGTTGTTCCCATTTCAGTAAGAAATCGACTATGGTTTATGCACGACGGAGCACCAGCGTACTTCAGTGCCCTGGCGCACGAATATTTAAACCAAAATTACAATAATCGCTGGAAAGGTCACGGCGGACCACAGTCATGGCCACCTAGGTCCCCGGACCTGAATGCTTTAGATTACTTCCCATGGGGTCATCTCAAAAGCACACCAATTCATACTGAAGAGCAGTTGAGAAATCGCATCATAGTTTGTTGCGAAACTATTAGAACCACTCCCACTTTCCAAAGAGTACGTGAGTCCATGAGAAGAAGAGCAGAGCATATTTGCAGGAGGTGGACATTTCCAACATCTGATATAATTTATTTCTTTGTGCGTTCAGGGTAATTTTCTTTTACCATTCCAAAATGTATGTAGATTTTTGTACCTAAATAGTTGTATTGACATATGTATTTACTGATAATTTAATTTTTCAAATTTAATTTGTTTAAAAATGACTTTGAAAAAATGTTAATATTTATTACATCGTTAAGCGCGCATGCTAAGCCTCGCCTTCCTCACTCGTTCGCTAGACCAAGTAATAGAACGCACCGCCGCACAGTGGTCGGAATTCCGAAAAAGCTGGACAAAAGTCGAAATTTCAAAGTCGTTGGTTTGCGTTAATACTTCAGAATATACTAGAGAAGGAGTCACTGCGTAGTTTTTTAAAGTGACAGCTGGCCCATGTGTATAGACCACAGCAACTATCGGAAGTATGCTGTGACACATTAGCATATTTCACTTGCCACTGACCCCTCGAAAAGCGGTGAATTTAAAATACGTGCAAATTTTTACTAGAGTACGAATCGTTATGTGCAATAGAGAGGGTGTTCCTGGAGATAAGTAGAATACATTTGCTCATCTAGAACCTCATTTTTCCAAAGTTGCATGTTTTTATTGCTTTAACAAAAACGTCTTACAATTTAAATCTATTTCAAATCACATCAATCGTAAATTACCGAAATAGTTGTGATCCCAAGAGATCCTGCACTATTGAAAGTTGGAAAATGCGAACAGAAGTGTCAATTTCATATATCAAAAGAGAAAACCACCGGATTTTTCCGGATTCGGGTTCTGTGTCATTTCTTGTGCCTCCGTGTACGGCCGATTTACTATTGTAAGAGGCCTAAGTTATACAATAGCTAGCGTTTTAGTGTCTTTTCGCGTTCTAAACGAGCGTTTCTAATTCAAATTGTTTTTTTTATGAACATGCACCTTTTTCGTGTGCCATTTATCATATTTTTACAAGCTTTTATTTAACTTGCCTTGTTAGTATGGGTCATATTTTGCAACTAAATTTTAAAACAGTTTCCCCAACCGATTGAGCTGAAATTTTGCATACACGTTTAATTTGGATGACAATGCATGGTTAGCTAAGTGACGTCATTCTAAATCCAATATGGCGGAAACTCAAAGATGGCGAACCAGTTATTTTTTTATACACCCCCATGATATGGGTATCAAATAAAAGGGTTTGCTAAGAAGAATACGAAAATAAAATGAAGAAAATTATAGATGAACTTATTATCTATGATCTTTCAATTCATAATTTATCATTTTCTACAGGATCAGGCACCAGTAAAATTACGTGAATAAAAAAATAAATTTTTCGATTTTTGAAAGGAAAATTCCAAAAGAATTTAGAAACGCAAATCATCATTTTCGATCAACCTTTTTTAAAAAGGTGCAAGATAGATGAAAATGAGAAAAGCTTTTCAACCGAAGCTATGGTGATAATATTTTCATGATCTGACGGTTAGTAACAGGTGATGACGATGCGAATGACTCATGTGTATTAGAATTAACTAAATAATTAGAATAAGCTTTATAACAAGAATAAGCTTCAATAGTATATAGAAATTATTTCGTTCGAAATGAATTCATTTCAAATACATGCCTTATATCGCAGATATTTACCTTTCGTATTTTATTAATAATAATTAATTACCTCAAAAAGCTCAAACTCCAACCTTACATACGTTTTACTCGACCTCAATACCAGAGGCACTCGAAATTTCAATTAGATTCAATAATGCGGCGCGCGCCGCTATCTTCTTTTTCGAAATTAAATAGTTGAATTCACCTTAATGTTAATGTAGGACATGAAAATATATACTTTATGTGTATGTATATTCCAAATTTCGGCTCTTAATATTAATAATTAAGGCCACTGCGATTAAATAAATAAAAAAAATTATCTCAGCCTCTAATCAACTTACAACGATTTTTTTTTAAATTTGAAGAAAAGTAAAGTAAAGAGGTTACTATTTTATTTTATAATAATTACCTATCTTAACAATTTAATAAATATTAACATTTTTTCAAAGTAAATTTTAAACAAATTAAATTTGAAAAATTAAATTCTCGGTAAATGTCTATGTCAATACAACTATTTAGGTACAAAAACAACTAATGATCAAAACCCTACAACGCCTGTGAGCTTGGGAAAAATGAATTGAAAATAGCATCTTCTTAGATAACAAATTCCGCCAACGCCAAACCAATGAAGCTTTCGAGCTGAAATTTTTACCACTTATTAAGGGTGTAAAAAGCCTCAAAAATCCTGAATTACAAGTGTCTGCGATGAAAATTGCATTAATTATTAGCAATTGAAAAAAACGGCAATTTTCGACCATTTTTGAGCTCTTGTGCATAAACAAATTATCGGAATTTAATCGGACTTTTTTCATTTTATAGGCTTATTTAATACCTACCTTTTTTGTATAAACTTTTTTTCGCTATGAATAATAGCTTTTTTACGTGAGTCAAAAAACCACTTTTCCATAACTTTGACCACTGTTAAAACAAAGTTTCCCAACTAGCCTCGAGTTGATTTTTTGATATTTTATTTATAACAGGTTTCCGAACAATATTCCGCAGAGAAACTTCTAATAGTATTTTTTTCCCGAAACAGGCTCTTTCATGTCTATAATGACTGGGCTATTACTGTAATTTCATAATTTCAACGTTTAAAAGTTATTACCTTAAATAAATTATTGTTCAAAGTTACATAAATCTTTTTTTTTCCTCGTAAGTGGTCCAATAAGATGCAAATGAATGAATTTTAGTTTTTTATGCAGAAACTCAAATGAAAAAAAATAAAGACACCACATTTGCTCAGAAAGGAATGAGGATTTCAAAAATTGATTTTTACTTTAAGAAAAAACAGTGACGTAACATATTTTTCTTCAAAAATATTCAATACAAAACCTGTACAGACGCTACTGGCAAAAATAATGCATCTCGATGAATAGAAGGCGTGTACCAAATTTGAAAAAATATTTAGGGTAAGACCAAAGTTACCATAAAAAATTTTTTTCATGAAACTTTAGCACCCTGTAGTTCAAAAGTTAAGACATTTTAGGACATATGTTCATATGAAATTTTTTTCTTAAAATGGATCCAAGAATAACCTCCTTAAATATTAGCACGTTATTAAGAAACACCCTGTATATTATGAAACATTTCAATAGGTTGTAGGTCTAGCACGAAGGAAGGTTCGACTAGATACGCTAGCTCTGAAACTCTCTGGCAAGAAAGGCAAGCTTTACCCACTGAAAGCGGATATAAGTAAAGAGGAAGATATTATAAACGCCTTCAAATGGATCAAGGAAAATGTGGGTCCAGTTCACGTACTCATCAACAACGCTGGTGTCTTCGGAGACACAGATCTCGGCGATGGAGACATAGACATTTGGAGGAACGTCCTCAACGTCAACGTCCTTGGTCTGTCCATAGCCACAAGGGAGGCCATAAGAGATATGAGAGCAAACAACGTGGATGGTCACATAATACACATCAATAGTGTTACGGGACACCAAGTACCTAATATGCCGAAGGCGAATATGTACCCTGCTAGCAAATTTGCTGTTAGAGCCTTGGCAGAAACATTGAGGCTTGAACTCCTTAACTTGAAATTAAAAATTAAAGTTACTGTGAGTATTGCTGTAAAAAAATTATATGCTCTAAAATAAAAAAAAGTCCTTATGCAAATGCGAAAATGATTTTTAAGGGCGCTATAGGCCTTTCATTATGCGCCCTAGAGGAAAGCCTGTAACTTTCTTAAAAAGCTTTTTACATTTTTTCAAAAATAAAAGTATTTTCAAGAAATCTCTGTTTTTGTACATTTTTTTAACCAGATGGGAATTGTTTATTATCGATCGTCGACATTAAAAAAATAGAAGATTTCTTGAAAAAACTGTTATTGGGAGCAAACTTTATAGGAATTTAAAAGGAACTATAACGTTCAAGATATTTTATTACAAGAATCGTTCAAATGGTAATTTTAGATGAAAAAACCGTGTTAAATTAGAGGGTGGAAATTGGAGATAGGGGTGAAAATGCACCCCTTTCAGTTTTTTAATTGTAGCTCAAAAACGACGTAAAATTTCGCTATAATTCATTGGAAACTTTATTTACAGAATTGAATTTCCCATCAAAATGGCTTATTTAAAAAATTTAAAAGGAAAATTTTATGCAAAAAATCGTTAATAAACAATTTGAAAAAATAGCAAAAAATTCGATTTTTTGTTACTTTTTTGCTTTGCATTGCATTGTTTCGTAGAAAAAAAAGTAGATAAAATTTCCTTCAAAATAAAAGATTGTAAAGTATTTTTGGACGAAAATTGACTGTTATATGGCCGCTCAAACTTACAATTAGCCAATTTTTCGATTTCGTCGCGTTTAGTCTTATACGTTTCAAAGATTTTCATCATATGACTTGTTCGAAGGGTTATTAAATTAGAGGGTTGAAATTGAACATAGGGGTGAAAATGCAGTTTTTCGGTTTTTTAAATATATAACAAAAACGAAGCAAAATTTCGGTGTAGTTCATAGAAAAGATTTTGTAGAGAATTGAATTTCCCATCGAAATGACTAATTTAAAAAGTTTAAAAGAAAAATTTTATGCAAAAAGTCTTTAACAAACCATTTTTAAAAAAAGCAAAAAATATTTTTTGATTTCTTTTACTTTTTTGACTAAGTTGTGAAAATATTTATTTATTATTAACAAATAAAATATATAATTTTTTATTAAGTATAGAACCAATTTGTTGTAAAAATAGCAAGAATTATAACCATTATTATGTTAAAAACGACGAAAATCTAAGTTTGACCGGTTATAACTCGGCCAATATTAGTCCAAAAACTTTTGAAAACGCATAATTTTGAAGGGAATTTCAGTTAGATTTTTTGTACAGCAATTTTCTTTGCCTACTTCTACTTAAAAAAAATTAGAGTCAAAAAAAGTAAAAAAAGTTAAAAAAATCTTATTTTTTGCTTTTTTTAAAATTGTTTATTAACAATTTGTTGCATAACATTTTTCTTTTAAATTTTTTAAATATGCCATTTCGATGAGAAATTCAATTCTCTACAAAATTTTTCCTATGAACTATACCGAAATTTTGCTTCGTTTTCGTGCTATATTTAAAAAACTGCAAAAGTGCATTTTCATCTCTATCTTTAATTTCAACCCTCTAATTTAATGACCTTTCGAACAAGTCATGTGATCTACTTTTTTTTCTATGAAGCAATGTCTATACCTATCTTTAATAAAAAAAACTAGAGGCAAAAAAGCAAAAAAAATCAAAAAAATGAATTTTTTACTTTTTTTTCAAATTGTTTTTTAACGATTTTTTGCGGGGGGCGATCCGCTAAGGAAAAAACGTACGAAGATTACAAAATTTCTGAAATCTTTTGTAATGTATCTGCAGATTTCAATATCAATTCAAAAAAGATTTCAAATTTCATATAAATAATCAGGATAACAATATCTTCCAACAGATTTCAAAACATTTTAGGAGATTTCAGAGTTATTTTAGTAGATTTCAATGACTAGGATTATTAGAAATTAAAAGAAGATTTCAAAATTTCTTAAAAAGGTTTCAAGGAGTACGGGTCGATTACAATAAGTTTTGAATGTTCATTTGAACAAAAATAATTGGATTAACTTCAACTGTCAGTTATTTCATTCATTAACAGCAGTACTTTGATTAAGAATTTCCAGTATCAGGCATTTTTTACGCAAGAATTGGAACATTCTGATTAAGTTTTTGTTCGAAGAACGTTAAAAACTTTTTGTCATGATAAAAATGATAATGCCATTTTGAAAGTTAGGTAAGTACCTATATATTTTTATTGAAAGATAAACATATAATAATCCAATATACTAATAAAAATAAAAAAATTGAATTAACATAAAATAAACATTTTCCCAAAAAATAAATAATAAAAAATGTATTAAGCTTCTACGGAATGTTTAAATATCATTAAAAAACAGTAAAAATTAAATTTATCCAAAACCGTTTTGAGGTATTATAATGAAATTTTAGGCGTGTCAATAGCTAACGATTTTTTAGTCTTACCAGTGGCGTGCGTATTGGCACGTCACTAGCTATGTTTAAAGAAAAAAATAGCACGCCGCTGGTTTTACTAAAAATAAAATTTTTGAATTCCTTGTTCAATTATGAAGAAAAAAAGCTTTCTTCAGATTATATCGTACGACGCAGCGTTTATGAGTAAAAAAATAAAAACCCTTTTATTGTGCGCCTAAAACCAATGCTAATTTATAAATTTAAATTATTGAACAAAGAAATTCAAATTTGATTGATTTTTGAAATGTGGTAGTGTTGTTTGTAGTAAAAATAAGGGACTGCGGTTTTGAAGAAATTTAATTCTTACTGGTTTTTTAATGAAATTTCATCATTCTGTAGATCGGTAACGAAGCGTTTGCGGATCTATGTTTATAGGAACTCTTTTTTATAAAATGACCTGGGCAATCACCCCCTTAAATATTGCTGCGTCTTTTTTAAACACCCTGTATAACTACCTCGCATCGGAGCCTATTTAAAAGCTTGTTTAAGGCGTATATAGGTTTTATTAGCATTTATTAAATCACTCCTAGAAATCGTAAAAGGTTCATTTCCGACTAACTTTATTGGCCCATAGAATATGTATTTTTCTTCGACTAATTGCACATCATCTATTTTAGGCCACATGTATTGCTGTAAATTCTCTTTCAAAAATTTAATGCGAAATTTTTCTTTTTCTTTTCCTATAACCCTACCAGGATGAATTGTAATATACGGCAAAGTAGTTCTCAAATTCTATAGCAACTTTTTTAATATTATTAGTTTTCTCTTCGATTGCTTCTAATACTAACAAGGAACCATCTGCGCTTATATCCTAAGTAGAATCCGAATTGGAAGTACTGCTAAGTTCTAAGTTAGGTAAAGATCTTTGAAAATTTGAGCTGGTTTTTAATTTCGAATTTTTTATTTACTATCAACAATATAATTTTTTGCAACTACAATATAATTTAAGTCCTCGCGAGAAATAGTTTTAAAAATGTCTTCTTCCGAGAATTCAGTAAAATTTAATAAATTGACAATAATTACACGGAGATTGCAAAGATTTCAGAAACGATTACATAAAGATTCCAGGGCAAACGTACGAAGATTACATCAGCGGATCGCCCCTCGATTTTTTGCATAAATTTTCCTTTTAAATTTTTTAAATAAGTCACTTCTATCGAAAATTCAATTCTCTAAATAATTTTTCCTATGAACTATACTGAAAATTTGCGTCGTTTTCGAGCTACAATTATAAAACCGAAAGGGGTGCATATTCACCCCTATCTCCAATTTCCACCCTCTAATTTAATAGCACGCCGCGGTTTTTTCATCTAAAATGACCATTTGAAAGATTCTTGTAATATCTTGAAGGTCATAGTTCCTTATAACCCTGTTTTTTTATATAATCAATAGCCTAGATGTAAAATTCCATAAAATGAATTATTAAATGTTACTGTAATAAGTAACATACTTTCTTACAGAACTGTAGCTTAGGCAATCAACATTGCATGGCTGGTATTGTCAACTAAAAATCCCTAAGTGGTGACTCCACCAATGTTAATAACTCGTTTACAGTGAACAATGACAGACCGTTACGTCTACGCTCGAGATAATGCGATTGTTGCTTGGGTTGAATAGAATCTCTTTAAAAATTACACGCATCACTAGCCAGTGAAACAAAATGTTGTTTTAATTGAACCTTGTTCTTATTGTTTTAATAATTTTTAATTTTACTGAAAAATTGCCAATATGAAGAAAATAAAAAAAGAAGAAGGACCATGATAATTTTCTCCATGCGAATGTCTGTCTTTCTTCACAAAAATGAAAACAATTTGGCTTACAAATATAAAAGCTCAAAAATATTATTTTAAGATTAAAAATGTTATATTTACTTTTAGAACATCAGCCCAGGCCTGACAGATACCGAAATTGTACCCGATTTTATAAAGGCTAAAATTCAAGAAACTGGAGGGGAGCAAATGATTGAGCCCGAAAATATCGCAGATGGAGTTGTCTATGCATTGTCGACACCTCCACATGTACAAGTAAGTAAAATATATTTTCGCTACAGTTTTGAATTAGGACCATTAGAAGACTGTATTTTGCACTGTGAACATTTGTGTGCTTTCACTGTCTTTTTATTCACCGACAACACATAAATTGGCTTCAGAGAGAAATATGTCTCTATTATACAGGGTGATTCACAAACGGTGACCAAAAATGAAAACTTACAAAAATATTTTCAATTTTTTTAAATAATTTAAAAACTATTAAGTGAAATAATTTGAAATTGGGCACATGTATTTATGTAAACATTGTTCAAAATCTGATGCATATTTCTAAAATTTAGATGCTCCAGTGGCGGAGATACAGGGTATCGGTAGCATATTTTTCTAAATAAAATAGTACGCCACTGCTTTACGGCAACAATCATGATATTTCGGATCCTCCTTTCAGTTTTCTACAAATTACTACTCTCTTATGTTTTTCGAAAAAAGCCTGATTTTCGAGTAAAACTTATCAATAGACGCCACACCACACATTCATTGAACACCGTTGCTGGAAACGTGAAAATTTGCATGGTGTCTCTAGTAAAACAACATTCATCCGTAAAAAGTATCTTGCTTGTAAAATCTGGATCTTGCGCTATTTGATGTCGAAACCATTGGCAAAATTCCACACGGGGCTGAAAATCATTGTTATTTAATACATGAACCCTCTGTACATAATAGGGGTGTAATAATTGTTCCCGTTGTTCACGCCACGTGGTACTGTTAGCTTTATACGCCGGCTAAGTAATACTGCAACACACAAAGCCCGTGCACAAGATGCACAGTCTCGGTTTACATTTATGTTTAATTTTCTTAATTAATTTTCTCGTTAACAGCATTTAGACCATCAGTTGATTAATAAAACATGCTCATTTTCGTAACATCTATCACCCTCTTCAAGGAACGCACTTATTTTAGAAAACACCTGGTATAACTTGCCTCAGAGCGAGAATAAATGCTGGGCAAATCTTTCTAGTGTAGTAGGTATAGTAAATAACAACAAATTGGTAGAATCGTTAATACTGACAATGAGTGGAAATTCTTTGCAAAAATATAAGACATTTTGTACAAACATGTGTACACTTCGTTTTTGAGATATAATAAATTTGAAAAAAAAACAATTTTTTAAAATTACCTGAAGATGGTAACGTAGAATGATGAAACGTTGTCGTTATAGGGTGAAAATTAGTTGAGTTCAGATGTAAATATATTGTTGGAAAAACATGCGACGATATTATTATACACTTATTAGAGCTTACAGGACTTTGAAAAAAATATATAACAGAACTTTTTAAATGTCCATCCCTAGCCCTGTAAAAAGATTCACTGTGAGGATACAAAAAATTTGAATAAAATTTGGGACACGTGGTGTTAAATGGGATGAGGTATACTCCATTTTCAATACAAAGTATTATCTTTCTTTGGGATCTGACAGAAACGACTAAAAAAAAATTGGGTATGTTTCTGGAAAAAATATAATTGATGACGTGATTACTCGTTTCTGTCAATCCCAAAGATAATACTTTCGATTGAAAATGGAGCTCAACTCATCCTATTTAACACCACGTGTCCCAAATTTTATTTAAATTTTTTGTATCATCACAGCAGGCCCATACTATTCCCTGTACTGCGTTTATCAGCTACCAAGGATCTAATAACAAAATGTTTTGTTATATCAATATTTTCATGATACTGAAACTGACCTTTACAATTTGTTTTTTTTTTTCAGATTCAGGAGCTTACAATAAGATGTGTGAACGAATATTTTTTGAAATAGATACCTATTAATAATGTAATTATGTAAAAGACAATTTCCTTGTAATTATGAACTAAATAAATGTATTCTACATAACAATTCAAGTTTTATTATATGAATTTACATGAAAACTTGTGTAAAAACGTGACATCTTCCAAATTAAAATTGGTATTACCAAAACAACTATTTACAGATATCGAGAAACAAATATATGGTTGCTAAAAGAAGCACTACGTAGCTGGACGACTGTAGTGTGTATATTAACATGTATATTAAATTTTTTTGCCTACGCCGCTCCAAGTAGTTCCAGTCAATTTATTGTTACAAATTTTCAACTCGATTCTTGCACTAGTTCTCTAAATATTGACCGAATTCTATATTTCCATTCCAAAATTTTTCCTTCAATCGGTTTTTTTACATTAAGAATCTCCCATGAAGAAATATGTCATTCATAACACATACAGGGTGTTTTCACTTTAAATTTGGAAAATGCAGGAATGTATTCCCTATCAAAAAGTAAGTATAGTTTGCTCTATAAAATTTTTTTATGAAAGCTTTTGTTTTGGAGATACAGAGCGTTGAAGCTTAAAAAAAAATAAACACTTTTTGACATATCTCGGCTATCCACGAGTAGATTTGTTTTAAACTTGGTACACATTATGCGTATTGGGGGTTCTCATAATTAACAGAATATTAGTCCGATCACATTAGCCAGTGGCGTGTAAAGGGGGGGTGCGTGGCCCTTTTTTCAAAAAAAAAGTACGCCATTGAGTTTTTCGAAGAATGTAAAGTGAATTTAAATACTACCATACAAAAGCAATCTAAAAGGTCTCTTGGTATTTTTTGATAATACGCAGCGTTCATGAGATTCTTGGACTATTAAGATTTCAATGCATGAAAAAAAATTATACATTGAGTTTTTCGAAGAATGTAAAGTAAATTTATATACTACCATACAAAAGCAATCTAAAAGGTCTCTTGGTATTTTTCGATAATACGCAATGTTCATGAGATTTCTTGGACTATTAAGATTACAATGCATGATAACATGGCACGGTAGTGTTGAATGAGAAAAAGAGATATTTTTTTTGAATTCAAATGCTGTATTAAAATTTATAGCAACTTTTTTGTATCGCAGCAAGCCAAGAACTTATATATATTTTCATTACTTTCCTCTACTCAATGTCGTAATTTTTTTTTTTTTTCATGCATTGAAATCTTAATAGTCCAAGAATCTCATGAACGTTGCGTATTATCGAAAAATACCAAGAGACCTTTTAGATTGATTTTGTATGGTAGTATTTAAATTTACTTTACATTCTTCGAAAAACTCAATGGCGTACTTTTTTTTTGAAAAAGGGGCCACGCATCCCCCCTTTGAACGCCACTGGCTAATGCGATAGGACTAATATTCTGTCAATTATGAGAACCCCCAATACGCATAATGTATACCAAGATTAAATTAAATCCACTCGTGGATAGCCGAGATATGTCAAAAAGTGTTTATTTTTTTTAAGCTTCAACGCCCTGTATCTCCAAAACAAAGGCTTTTATAAAAAAAATTTATAGAGTAAACTACACTTAATTTTTGATAGGGAATACATTCCTGCGTTTTCCAAATTTAAAGTGAAAACACCCTGTATATGTTGAGATGAATCAAAAGTTTAAGTTTCAGTATTAGGATGAAAATAGATTAATGTCAAAGAATGACAATGTAAGAGTTAAGTAATAGATTTGAAATTAAGATGACAATTAGATGCAAAATGACAATTTAAAGTAAAATATAAATTTTGATGAAATATCAATCTAAATTAATAAAAGTGGTCATAAAATAAGGGTATATAGCAAAATAAGGATTAAATAGTATTGCAAAGGTTAAATTGGAAATGTAAAATTAAAAAGTAATCTGATTGGTTAAAATAAATTAAAGAAGACGAAAGGAAAAGAACACGAAGCTGATAGTGAAAATCAGTTACTTAGAAAAAGAAAGAAAATTTACTTAAGGAGTAAGGAGAATACAAAATTGTTGTTTATCGTGCAGGAAACTATAAAGGAAAGAAGATAACAACAGAGAAAATTAAAATAAGGGTGTACACGAAGCTTGACAGATAACTAAAGAGTAATTATCAAATAGTCATATTAGTAAAATTATTTGAATTGTCGTAGCTAGGAATAAAGGAGATAAGGAATAGGAGCTATTAAGGCGAGTCGGGAAATTGCAGCCAGCAGAGCGATACAAGAGAACGAGAAAGGAACAAATTGACAAAAAGGAGAGAGTGAGTGGACGAAAAGAAGGAAAAGGACAGGAGAGAAATAGCAGAAAGAAAATTACTACTTAAGAAATCGTGGACATTAAAAGAAATAAAGGACAATAGATATGTATGTATGGGTAATAAGTAAATGTTAGTTTGTATTATTTAATTTTTTTTAAACAAAGTTAATTACAAGTAAAACCTATTTTGTGAACCGACTACTGAGATAAGACCTTATGTTCTATTAAATTTGATGTCTATTATTTATACAAAATTGACATAGGTCTAGTTGTCATTAAAATTATCAAAGTGAAATAGAATCCCATTTTAAATCAAGAATACTTAAAAAAAGAAAAATAAATAATAATTTTTAATTTACAATTTATATTTCAAAATCAAATTGAGTGATAACAAATAAAAAGCTAGCCTGGTAAGTAATAAAAATATATTTTCTAAAAATAATAGTCAAAATTTATAATATTTCCACTGACGCTCAACATTACTTATTACATAGAACTACACAAACATTAAAAACTAATTATCTCAATTGGAGCATCTCAATAATAATAATAATAATAATAATAATAAATTTATTTTCCTTTTGACAACATACATTGTATAGGAATAGTCACAATGATATTAAAACTAAGTTAAAAAAAGAGGAGAATAAAAAACGAAAAATAAACGAATGAATCGGCAGAGATCATACAAATTCGCTCAAGTTATAAAAGCATCTATCCAGAAGATAAAGTTTTAATTGTTTTTTAAACAAGATTAAATTGTTTATATTTTTAATATGTACTGGTAATTTATTAAAAACTTTTTTGCTTAAAAAGTTAGGTGAATTAATTGTTGCATTATATTTATAACTTGGAACAAAGTAATGATCTCTTTGTCTCTTATTTAGACCGTGCACTCGTTCGCTTAAAACGAAATTGTTTTTATTTTTAAAAATAAACACACACAGCTCGAAAATTAACAAACATGGAAGGGGTAAAATATTATATTTTTTAAAAAGTTCACGTCGGGAGTGCAATGAGAGACTCCAGCTATGCACCTTAAAATTTGTTTCTGTGCAATGAATACGTCCGACGATCGAGTGGAATTACCCCATAGACATATGCCATATGTCAACCTGGAGGAAACCAACAATCAAACCAATATACATAAGATAGAGTAATTATAAATGAACAAAAAAGTTGTAAGATTAACAGTTTTCAAAATACAGCGAGTATTATTGGGGAATTTCATCACAACGTGACAACAACGCTTAACCTAATGCTACACAGCTGGTACATACCACGTGTGCACGCGGCAGACTTGTCCTACGGAAAAAATGTAAACAACTATTATTGTGAAACATTTAGTTCATTTCAATGTATCGATTTTGTAGTACGAAGATAGCGTTGTGCTCAAATTTTAGATCGAATTTTAGTAATTATGAGTCTTTTAAAACAGGAACTTCACTTTTAATCAAATTATGAATTTGAAAAATATGTAATTAAGTTCCCAAAGATTCACGTCATCCAAATAATCATACGTATTAAAAATAATTTAGGTACTTTCCAATAAGCAAAATTCAGTAATTTTTAAACGCACAAGTACAAAATAAACTACAGCGTATGCTCAAAATGTCCACCACCATTTTCGATTAACGCACGACACCTTCGAATCCAATATTTGTGCACTCGCTGGAAAACTCCTCAAGAAAAGGAAATAGTCATACGCAAAAAACACTCAGAGACGGTCCAATTCCAGATACCAACTGAATTGCGTATTGCTGGACAGTCTCGTGTTAACCGCCGCGCCTTTGTCACATTGCTCGATATGAATTTTATCGAATTTTAAATTTATTACAACGCTAATTAGTTTTTTAGAATTAAGCATAAAGAAGTTCAAAAAAGTGATAAACATTGTATTTATGCACGCACTTGTGTCAATATTCTTTGATTAATCAAACTTTTGTACATTAAGTTGGACATTTTGATAATTTTTTTTCTCGGAAATGGTTGAGTTTAGGACCCATGTCGTATAAGGTTTTTTTTGTCTATTTTAATGTATTTTATCGTTTGTTAAAATTAAGGCAGTCAAACTTCTAACACCTTGTATATTCAATTGTTCTACATCGTCAAGGTAGGTACTATTTTTAATTCCATTCTTTACTACTTTCAATAACAGGTAATTTACCATGACTTGCATAATAAACAACCAGTGAGATTCCTCCTAAAAAAGCCGTATCATTTTTGCAATCATACAATATCTACCTATTATAAAATGATAAGTAGCTTATTACGATTTCTCCCACTTCATGGTTTATATCTATAAAGATACAGACATAGTACAATATCATTCAGTTATCATCCAGACTGCACAACAGAATAAAATGGTGCTGTCCATGACTCGTTGGGTCGGCAAAGTGGCTGTGGTCACCGGGGCTAGTTCTGGTATCGGAGCTGTTACTGCAGAGGCATTGGTCGAGCATGGCCTTAAGGTAATTCAAAGTTTTCAGCTTCACAAGTAGATCTTCACAACAGGAAGAATTATGGTCAATTTTTTTTCGGTACTGTTTAAAATTGTTCATTTTGACATTATTCATACAGTTTTAAGTGTGGGTTAGTTATTTATCTGCTTTACACGTAATAGTTTGTTTGAAAAGTAAATATGTGTTCCAAGGTATGTTTTAATACCTAATTAGTACATATCGATAGTAATTATTGTTAACGCAGAGATTAATTTTTACTATAAATTACATTTTGTTCGATTCAATGTAGATTTATATTAGATTACCACTGCAACATCATTGAATAGCGTTTTAGACTGTGACGAAGACTGAGAGAAGAATATTGACGTTGTTCCTGTCAAATACAGGGTGATTCACCACTTATCCAAAAAAATTTGGGAATAGATGCGGCATGAGCAATGGAGTCAACATCAAAAAAAAAATTTTAAAAGTTGTTGTACATTCAACCACTACATAGCTGGACAACTGTAGTCTCTAGCGTCATTAGCAATACGCGTAGAGAGCCACGTAGCTTCAGCGACTCCGAATACTGAAATCGGATTTTGCAATCGTCGTTGCGATAACATTTACATGTTATCTGTGGTGTTTACAATAGTTTTTTAGTAGTTAGTGTCAAAAATGGGTAGTTAGTGTCAATAATGGTTTGCGTGTATAGCAATTCGGAGTTGATGGATATCGTTTTAGTTTATGGTGAAGCATAGTTCGTAGAAACTGAGTAAGACGGACCCAAATGTGTTTACACGTTGGTGGATAAAATATTGAACAATTGTTGTTGTAACATCGGGTATGTCAAATGATTTTATTATTTAAAAACACAATTTAATTTTATTAATAAATAAAAGCAAAAGCAGTTGAATTTGCCGATATAAAATAGGTGCGATAAAATTCTATTTACATATTTCTTTCCTTGCGAAAGTTTTTGTCCATTTTTATCACACCGCCATGCCGGTCGCATTGTGCGAGGTCAGGTTTTACAGTGGACCAGTTTCCAGTGCCGTGCAGAAGTGTATTTTTAAATCATTTTCGAACTGCTCTTTTTGATTTTTTATTTACAAAACTGTATTTGTAAGGGTCCCTTGTACATCCAGTTAAGTTCTGAATCACCCTGTATAATTTCTATCAAAGTTGAGAGCTGCTGTGTCATTGTGTGAAATTGATTCTACTCGTAGTCCAGAATTGTAAAAGCGAACTATATTGATAATTAGGTACTTAGATTCTAGTTCAGTCTAGAGGTGTTGAAGTGACGTCAGTTGTATTAACTAAATTGGTTGCTGGCCAATTACGAGAATGCCAAAGAAGATAACGATGTTAGAAAAGAGGACGATGATGTTTTACAGGAGCACGAAGAAGACGGTTATGATGCAATTGGAAATGGCAGTAGGTGAAAAATCAGTATAGACGAATTGTAGGGTTAAATTTCTGTTATAAAAAATAATATGTTAATAAATTTGATGTAAAAGTAAAACTGTTAAATGTTTAAAACTAATGCTTTTATTAAATGGTAAATTATATCTAGTGCCTTTGATGTCTACAGGCTGTTACAAATTCGCTTCTCACTACAGGGATCTCCGAAACGGTAAGAGATACGAAGTAGCTTAAATGGGGACAAAGTTGCATAATCAGGGGACCAACATTATGCCTCTAAAAAATCAAGTCTAACATGATTAGTTTTCGAAATATTTGAAAAAAAAAACGAAATTTTAGAAATCCGTTGTTGTTTCATTTCAGCCTTGTTTGAGGTGATATTGAAAAAAGAAGAACACTTTCTTGTGGTAAATTTTTGTCCTCAATCGGATGGCATAATCAATTTTTAACTTTTCGTCTTTCCAGGACCATCTTCAACTTGATTTTTTTAAATACAACCCTTGAAATTTTATTACATTTCTGCAAGCCTTCATGCCTCAGCCCGAACCAGATTCAAACGTTTTGTCCCGAAAAATTCATCTTCAATGTATTCGTTCCAAATTTATCTAAATTTTATATAACACAAATAATTAGGGGGATTTTACAGTGTCTAATGACACTTATAGTGTACGATAATTCGATAAACATAAAAACCTAAAAAAAATGGTATATTTGGAACGAATAGATCGAAAATGAATTTTTCGAGACAAAACGTCTGAATCTGGTTCGGGCTGAGACAGTACAGTATTGGGGGTAATCAAGGCTTGCTAAGAATGTAATAAAATTTCCAGGGTTGTATTTAAAAAAATGAACTTGATGATGGTCCTGGAGAGACCAAATGTTACATATAAAAATTGATTATGCCATTCCATAGAGGGAGAAAGTGTTATTCTTTTTTCAACATCAGATAAAACAAGGCTAAAATGAAACAAAAACGGATTTCCAACGTTTTGATTGGTTTCAAATATTTCGAAAATTAATCACGTTAACCTTGATTTTTTAGAGGCATAATGTTGGCTCTTGACTACGCAACTTTGCTCCCATTTGCGAATTTGTAACAGTCTGTATATAAATTGTTGATTTTTATCACCTGTTTACCCTAAAAGACGACGATCATACTCCATTAACACATGTGAGATAACTGATGATATCTACCACAATTATTAATTAATCGAGATTATTGAGATAAAAAAACTTAGTGTTATTTAATTCTCGACTATTCAAAGATTGATGTTTAGAATAAGACGCTATCTTAAAAAAACATTGTTATACCTAGATGAAACATTTCTCAATAGGTCGCAGGTCTGGCACGAAGGAAGGATCGTCTGGATGCGTTAGCCCAGAAGCTTTCCAACAAGAAAGGTAAATTCTACCCCGTTAAAACTGATATAAGTAAAGAGGAAGACATTTTGAAAGCCTTCAAATGGATCAAGGAGAACCTAGGACCGGTACACATTCTGATCAACAACGCTGGCACCTTGGGAAAAACTAATTTAATGAATGGAGATACCGAGATTTGGAAGAATACCCTTAACGTCAACGTTCTCGGTTTGTCTATAGCCACCAGAGAAGCCATAAGGGACATGAGGGCAAACAATGTAGATGGGCACATAATCCACATCAACAGCGGTGCGGGACATCAGGTGCCTAACATACCTAACATAAATATGTACCCTGCTAGCAAATTTGCGGTTAGGGCATTGGCAGAGACTTTAAGATTGGAGCTGCTTAATAAGAAATCAAAAATTAAAATCACGGTAAGTGGGATAGTAACCATTAAAATAGGGCCATTCAGTAGAATTTTTTTGCATATTCCAAAAGTTTACCTTTTAATTAGTTAGTATGCCAAAAATCAATTTTTTGTTTCAACGAGAAATGTGTGAAATAAATTAATGAAAACAGTGCGCGGAAAAACGTTGAGCAACCATTGCCTGACGTCATAATACCGGTACGGGCGACTGGCAGAGCATTCAGCTCGCACTCGCGCTCGCTCTCATCCCATTCTGTGTTAATACCACAGAGTCTATGTTAATACATAGGGTGTGTGGTTCGCTTGGCAGTTTCGTTAATCATTGTTTATATGTCTAAATGGGTCGAAACCGAGGATTGTACAAATATTGTATAGTTCCAGGCTGCAAAAGTACCTCAGGATCGACTCCGAATAAAATATTTATTTCATTACCGAAAAAAGAAAAGTTTGTGTTCCCCAACCACGGTATGCCACTCAAAACCACCTTCGTTTTTCTTTGGTTCCACGTCTAGGGGTTGTAAAATATTATTATTTGAACATTTAGAATACAATTTTCAACTTTATGCCGGAAAAAAATTCTACCCCATCTAAATGTTCGTGTTCACAAAAAAATCGAAATACGTCGGTGAGAGGGACCTATAAGCAGTTAAGAATCACTCTAGTTTTTCTTTGGTTGCCCGTCTAGGGGGTTGTAAATATTATTATTTGAACATTTAGAGCAGAATTTTAAAATTTATGCCGAAAAAAAAAATTTCTACCCCATCTAAACGTATCCGTTCACAAAAATTTCGAAATACGTCGGCGAGAGGGACCTATAAGCAACTCAGAACCACCCTTGTTTTTCTTTGGTTGTCCGTCTAGGGGGTTGTAAATATTATTATTTGAACATTTAGAGCAGAATTTTAAAATTTATGCCGAAAAAAAAATAAAATTTCTACCCCATCTAAACATCTGTTCACAAAAATTTCGAAATACGTCGGACGGCGAGATGGACCTATAAGCAACTCAGAATCACCCTTGTTTTGCTTTGGTTGCCCGTCTAGGGGATTATAAATATTATTATTTAAACATTTAGAGCAGAATTTTCAAATTTATTCCAAAAAAAAAATTTCTACCCCACCTAAACGTTCCCGCCCACAAAAATTTCGAAATACTTCGGCTAGAGGGACCTATAAGCAATTTATTTAAATAATAATATTTTACAACCCCCTAGACGGGCAACCAAAGAAAAACGAGGGTGGTTCTGAGTTGCTTCAAATACTAGTCAAAGAACTACTGGCACATACACGTCGTCGCATACATCCACAAGTACCGAGTCCGACTGCTCGCGACTTGATCGCCGAGTGGCCGGTATCGTGACGTCATTACCTGTTCTCCCGCAGTGTTGACCTTTTTAAGGGTCTTACAAATTCAAAATTAAATATATCATTTATTATTAATCCTATTGACCTAATTTTTTTAAGATGTATTGAGGTGGTTAAATACTATCAGAAAATGAAAGAAATAGTTTAAAGTTATATATCACTGAATGGGCCTATTGTTCTACAGATGTTGTTCTTTTTTAAGTGAGTAGTTGTTTGTTTGTATAAAAAATTCAGGATGATATTTTAATATTATTAAACAACCATTACCACAACAAACATGATGAGAAAGTTACTTTAGAGAGTGAATTATTAAACATATACCAGAACTCAGTGGCGACTCGTGACATTGTGCATAGGTGATTTTACTAAGTGGTCAGTTTTTGGAGGGAAGGGGTGGATTTGGGGCTTTGTGCCCCAATTGAGACTTTTGATCTACATGTTAAGAACTATCAACCTGCGAAGTTTCAAAAAAATTGGACGAAACCCACTTCCCATAAGAAAAGTGCGAGGTCCTTTTCACGTCATTTTTTATTATGTAAATCCTCGCCAATACCCCCATATAACCGCAAATTAAAAAAATATATTATTAACAAAACTTAAAAAATTGTATTTACAATAAAATTAAGAAACAGAAAAAAAACAAAATTATATATTTAAGAATATTAAAAAATATATTTACATATAAAACAACGCCGCCAGCCTTTCGTTGGCCTCTAATTTTAACAAAATATTTTAAAAACATAGTGAATATTTTTATAAAACAGGTTTATTCGTCCGTCTTTCGAATTTGCAAATTTACTTATAATGTCTTCATAAAATTGATTATCGGCACCAAGACTTTGCAATAATTCTTTTTCTATCGTCATCACTGATAAGTTGTTTAAGAGCTCTTGTGTCATCGTATTTCTAAGTCTTAATGCGCTTAAGACGCAACAAGTTTCTTTCTACCGAGACACTTGTTGCAGGAATTGTTAAAACTGGGCAAAAACAATTTGTATATTTCCGAAAATACCATTTTAAATTCCTTGTATAATATTTCTATCGTTTTTTGAACTTCTAAATTACGAAATTGTTCGTCTCTGTATAGAATATTAAGTTCGTTTTTCAACCCATCTATTTCAAAAATGTTTAGATATATTTGTAATAAACATTCAAACGATTTTTCGGGAAATGTTGAGGAATCTATTAAAGCAAAAAATTTAAATCATGTAAATTCCCAAAACGAGTAGGTAGGGGAAATATATTTCGAAAATATTTCTAATTCGTCGCAACTTTTGCCCCGCTTACTTAGTAGTCCAGTAATATTTTTCGCATAATTAAAAATATTTTTAAATTTTTTTAAGTATCTATTAAATTACGTTAAATTTAGTCTTACTTTGTTTTGTTGTAAGGAAATTGTTTTTTATTTACTTTAAATTAATACCCGCCTTGTCCTTGTCCTTAAAGCCTTTGTGCTATCCCTCACACTGACATCAGACACTACCCGCGTACTATGCGACGCGTACATTAACCGCGAACTAACTGAAACACTAAAACTATAAGCTAGAGATGTGTTGCTATTTCACTGTCTGCTACTTTGGCGCTGTTCCGCAGTTGTCACTGGAGCTGACTGTTCCGCCGCGACAAAATAAGTGGTGATTTTTTGGAGCGTTTACTGCAATTTACTAGCGCCAGCGACACAGGCGTGCCGACCAGATTCCGAGCAAAGCAGATTCTCGCTCAGCCGTTGCGATATGCGCTTGAATTAGTCACAGTGTCACACACAAAGCATATAAACAGTCACATTTGATTTAAAGACATCGTATTTCAGCGACTAGAGCAATGCGTGTATTGCTGGTTGCTGGTCTACAAATATTTTAAAAGTTTTTGTTTACAAAATGACATCTTTTTCTAGAAAATATTTAGGTTAATATATCACACATTAGTATTCATTGGTAAAAAATATATATAAGAATATTGCACAAGTTAACAAGATTTTTTGTAGCAAATATAACTTATTATAAATATTTACTGTTTTCTGTGTGACAATAACTGAATGGTTGATAATCGTGTGTGAAGACTGAAGAGTCTCATTAAATTATTGTCAATTTTTGTTTTAGCATGAATACCAATTAATTTTGGACCATAAGGTAATTTACTTTGTTTAACGGTAATGGTTTTAGAAACTATATCACATTGAGAGGTAGCAGGTGAAGATGAGGTACTTGCCTTAAGGTGGCCATATTCCCGGCCGAGAAATAGTGAAATTTCTGGCGTTTTTAGGTACTGAAATCTTTAAAAGTAAAACGTGTAGAACAAAAGTAAGCACAAAAATGAAATCCTTGACGTTTTGTTTATTCATTGTTACCATTTAAATTTACTCAAATAAAATAATAACTAAAAAAAAAGCGTTTGTAAAACATGCGTTTGCTGTTATTCTAACCCCACATTTTAAGAATTATTTTCACGTACTTATAAATAAAAGTAAACAATTTTATATGTAGGACTAAGCAAGTAAATGTTATAAGAATATTTATATGTGGAATTATATATAAAAAAGTTAGTATTTTCGTAGATTTCAGTACCTAAAACCTTGATGGTTTGTTCGTTTTTTGCACCTGTTTAATCGTTTTACTGCGGCGTCTTTGAAAATACCCAGATGGCATGACATAACATTCCTATTATTTGATAAGCTTTAGATTATTCAGTTATTAAATGTTTGAAATTATTTGTCTTTGCGGAAAACACTATTTAAAGAATATGGGGCCCTTAACAACATGCGATCGTTCTTCATTTGTTTTTGTTGCACTCGCGGAAAAATTTCGAATATCTGTCACTGCACTCTGTAGGATTAGTCCAAGCATTCTGTCACGGATTAATGTTAAATTTGCAGAAATTATTACCTGGACAAAAAAAATATAACCGTATAGAAAATTAAATTTTAAATTGAGTTTCTTGTTCTTTAAACTCGATCCAATATGGCGAACATGGTTAAAAAAAATCGCAAAGTTGAAAAAAACGGTTTTTCTAAAATAACTAAAAAAATATAGGACGGATTGAAAAATTTTAAATGAGAAAGTTGTAGATTTTAAAAAGATCTATCGACTGATTTATTGAAAGTATCGATTGCTTTGTTACTTTTCGAGATATATCGAAAAAACCGTTAAAAATCTTCTATTTTCTCTTCATCTATAACTCGTTTACATTTACGTGCCCATAATTGCTATTTATTGCAAGCATAGCCCGCGGCAAGCCAAAGAAGTACATTTTTAAAAAATTTAAAAATATTAATTATTTTTCGAGATATATCGATTTTTTGAAAAAAAGGCGCTCTCGAAAATTGGCTAGATCTTCTCAGCGGATAGCCCTACAGTAACGATTTTCGGTTTATTTTCTTCGTAAAGAGTTATATTATCATGCTGTTAAAAAATGTTGACGATTTTATTAATTTTAAGGATCAAAAAATGACTTTGAATAAGTTGCACTTTTTTGGGTATGTTTTTTTCAAATTACTATTTCAATTTTTATTTTATGAAAATGACTTTTAAAGAAAGAAAACTAAACATTTACGGGTCTATTTTGCTTCTAAGGCGAAAATGCTATAATATTCGTGTTTAGCTACCCCAGATTAAGTACAAAAAAATAATAAAAATTGAAATAGTTATTTGAAAAAAACTTACCCAAGAAAAAGCGCAACATTTTCAGTCATTTTTTTATCCTTAAAGTTAATAAAATCGTCAACATTTTTTAACAGCATGATAATATAACTCTTTACGAAGAAAATAAACCGAAAATCGTTACTGTAGGGCTATCCGCTGAGAAGATCTAGCCAATTTTCCAGAGCGCCTTTTTTTCAAAAAATCGATATATCTCGAAAAATAATTAATATTTTTAAATTTTCCAAAAATGTACTTTTTTGGCATGCCGCGGGCTATGCTTGCAGTAAATAGCAAATATGGGCACGTAAATGTAAACGAGTTATAGAAGAAGAGAAAATAGAAGATTTTTAATGGTGTTTTCGATATATCTCGAAAAGTAACAAAGCAATCGATACTTTCAATAAATCAGTCGATAGATCTTTTTAAAACCTACAACTTTCTCATTTAAAATTTTTCAATCCGTCCTATATTTTTTTAGTTATTGTAGAAAAACCGTTTTTTTTCAAATTTGCGATTTTTTTTAACCATGTTCGCCATATTGGATCGAGTTTAAAGAACAAGAAACTCAATTTAAAATTTAATTTTCTATACCGTCATATTTTTTTTGTCCAGGTAATAATTTCTGTAAGCATTTCTCTATAATGCTTGGACTAGATATGATATCGTCGTTCTATCGCCTCTTACACACGGGCGCTGTTTTACCGATCGGTAGCCGACCGTCAGACTTGTCGGCAACGTTTTTGTGTGTAAACATGTATTTAACTATGTGTAATTTAAAATTTAGTCGGTTGTTTTGCCGATCGTTTTAACTGCCGATCAGCAAAATACCGTTCGTATGTAAGAGGCTTATGTGTTTTTTTTTAAATTGGTGGTTGAAGTTTTATAACTAATGTTTTGCTTGAATATATTACAACAAGCTTTATTTTCATTCGTTGGTAAAAAGAAATTCCACGGGCGCGAAAAATAAAGGAATATATCACGGTAGGAATATATGCGCGCGCTACCAGGAGCTGTTCCGAAAAATCGCAGCTATTTGTCACTGCTTTGTTGCCGGAGCAGTCGCAGGTGTCACTGCTCCGCAAAAAGCGCAGGTTAGCCCATCTTTATTATAAGCAGCTTTAAGCCGACCTCAGTTCCCTCCTAAATCACGTTATTTTAACCGCCTCACGTGGAGGGGGAACTGTAGCATATTGTGACGCGCCTACAAGCAAAGAATTTCTGGCCTCACTGTGGTGGGGACTAGTGGGGAGTAACAGTATCCAATACCCCGTCGATGGAAACGGCGAGCGACGAGATATTCAATATTCAAACATTTATTTTATACTGTTATTTTGATTTTTGATAAATGTAATAAGTAATTGGAAATTAGTTTGCCTAACCTTTTATTTAGTAGATTAGTAGGTATTAAAATATACGGTGTGAGAGCCAAATACGACGAGCCGCCACTGCCAGAATTATGTGCTTACATTTATTGTTTTGTTACAATTTGTACTATCAAACACTGTCATAACTTTATCTGAAAAATCGGCAAAATATCGCTTTAATTGTTATTCCTTCTGCCACAATATTATTACAATTTATTTTTTTCTTTTCACGCTTTAAATACTTTATCTGCTATGTCTCTACATCTTCGGAAAAGTCTGAGTATTAAACATCTTGTTGCAGAGAACCGACGGATACAAGGTTCTGTGTATTCATGTGCATTTGACCAATTAAAAAATATTGCAACAATTTGAGTCATTCTACTATGTGTTGCTCTCAGCATGGAGTATTTAACCACCTTCAACTCTCTAAATGAATCGGAAAAGTACGCCAGCATGTCATTTTCAGATCGCGAAATCGCATTTCTTTCATTGCAATAATCGATGCAACGTTTGTAAGCGAATGCGTATTTTCACTGGATTTATTTGACAAAAAGACATTGACGGCAATTGGATTATATAAGAACGGGAAAGAAGATCGCTCTTTAATTTTTGTTACTTGTATAATTTTATAATTATTTATAGAATATCAGCCCAGGACTGACGGATACCGAAACTGTATCCGCCGATGTGAAGGAGCATATTCGGAAAATTGGTGGGGATCAGATGATTGAGCCCGAAAATATTGCCGATGCAATTATCTATGCGTTGTCGACACCTCCACATGTTCAGGTAAGCAGATGTCCAATATTTTAATAAAATGTTATTTATTTCCCACATTATCAAACACATAATAATAATATGATTTATTGTGTTTGCTTTGAATTTTCTGGAAAAAAGTCTAACAGACTTCACCGCCACCGAATTATTTAAACTTTCAATGATCCGTTATTCAATATTCGATAGTGTCTGGTCTGTTCATACACGCTTCGCTTTAGACAACGCCACAAAAATCTAGTGGGATTAAGTCAGGTGAGCGTGGTGGTCATTCAAGCGGCTCTCTTCTGCCTATCCATATTTGGTAAAATTTCATTAAAGTAATTTGTTACATCGGGGCGAAAATGTGGAGGGGCACCATCTTGTTGGAACCAGACATCACCAGCAGACATATCGTGCTCATTAGGGTTAGGAAAAATTAATTCCAGAACTGTAATCATCTGAAATCGCAAAAAATCCAAATAAATGTCGCCTGTCAAATTGCCCTCAAAGAAACAAGGTCCCAGTGTGTTATTTCGTAGTATTCCAGCCGAAACATTCACTATTTCCGGGCGTTGTGTATGTTTTTCATGCATTCAATGCGAATTTTCTGGGCTCCAAAACCTAGTGTTTTGCCTGTTCACGGTTCCGTTTTAGCAAAAAGTTGTTTCGTCAGTGAAACTTATGTGATTTTTTAAGTTGGGTTGCCTTTTAAATAAATTTCTAATTCTGTCTGTGTCATCTGCCCATAGTTCTTGTAAGACGTTAACTTTGTAAGGATGCCACTTTTGTGTCCTCAGAGTTCTGTGAACTGAGGACATCGACAAGTTGAAGTTGGGTGAGATAGATCTAATGGATGAGTGAGGATTTTCGCTTACCGTTCTTCGCCTTCCTAATCCAGATGAATCTTATACACATCCGGTTTCCTCACACTTTTTGGATACTTTACTTATTGTAGCTCGATTAATTCTCTGGTCTGGATACTTATGGTGAAATGAGTCACATACCTCCTATTGACTACGGATTTTATCTCCGCATAATTAATATGTCAATTCTTTTTTTTTTCACTTAAACGGGTAACCATTTTTCAAAATAATTTAAATGAATTGGAACTAAAACGATTTACGTTATATCTAATGTACTCTGGTGAATTACATGTGTTTATCGATGCGTTATTTTTTGAGAAAAAAATTGCTTTAAAATAAGTAGAAAAAGATTAATAAAGAGTAGGTACGTTTTTTAAAGTACAGAAGAGACTATGATTGTTTGAAATAGCCATCAGTACCTACGACATAAAAGAAAATTTTTAACATTTTTCTGGCAACTATGACAAAAAAGTGAACCTTATATCGCTGAATTTGTCATTAGAAGGATTATCTATTTGTACTATAAAATATAGAGCGTCCTTTTAAAAAAAATTTCAGTAATGTTATAGGTCTGTCAAACATGCCTCAAAAAATAGAAAATATTGCAGAAACGTGACAATTTCTATTTACTAATTGACATGTTTCAGCGATTTTTTTAAACCTGACCTGGAAAAAAATATGAATTTTGTACCATCATTTTGGAACACAGTGTATATTTTCCTAGACATATTTTATAAAATTTAATAACACCCTGTATCTCGCAAATGAAGCATTTTCAGACCAAGGGGCTATTTTTCTTACAATCAGTTTAATAAACACTACTTGTGACAGAATTTTTACAGTTTTTGTCAACACCCTGAAGCAGTATTTTCATGACACTTAAACTGATGTCATTTCTTTTTCCAGATTCAAGAACTTGACGTGAGAGCGGTGGATGAATCTTTTCTGCATTAGATATTTATAATCATAATTTAATTTTAAAATATAATTAAATAAATGTCAATTTTGAATTATTTAAAAATATCATGTACTTACTTCCTTTTATAATATACAGGGTGTCCGGAAATACCGTTCGAATAATTCTAGGGGTGATTCTACATGTTAAACTATGAAGAAAAGTTCATATGAACATAGGTCCGCAAATGCGTCTAAGGTTGCTATGGCGATTCAAAGATTGCACCGGGATATAGGTTTTGTTTTATATCTCTGGAACCGTTTCAGATAGCCATCTGAATTTTGGCATATGAATTGCCTTTAATAGTAGGTACTTTTCAGTGTTTTTACTAAATTATTATTTTAATCAGGGGCGTACCGACAGGGGAGGCCTCGATTTAATTTGTTCACATTTTTATTAAACGTCATATTTTTGCAGTTTTCTTTAGAAATTCTGATTCCGCGGTATAAATGACATAAAAAAGGTATTCTTGTAGAAAACCTGTCAGGTATTGTTAAATAGTGATAAAAAAGAAACGGTAAATGGAAAACAGATTTATAATTAAAAAAAAAAAGGGGAACAATACAGAAACAAATAATACTAGTGACTTATTATTAAACCTGAATGTTACTTCTTTAGTTACAGCAAGTGTTGGAAGTGATGTCCATTCATTTCAATGCAACTGGCTAAACGATTTCTCATTGAACGTTTAACTCGTTGAAAAACACCTTGCATATTCCGTATTTCTTGGCAACAATGAATGACTCTTTGTTCCAGTTGTTGTACACTGTCAACAGGCACTGAATAAACTAAGTGTTTTAAATAACCCCATAGAAAATAGTCTAACGGATTAAGATCCGGCGAACGGGGAGGCCAAGCTACGGGTCCACCTCGTCCAATCCACCGATCTGGATAAGTCTGATTTAGATATTGTCGAACTAATAAACTGAAGTGGGCTGGAGCCCCATCGTGCATAAAAAATGTTTCTAATCTTAATCCATAAGGCAAATCTTCGAGCAAAACTGGTAAAGTGTTTTGTAGAAAATGTAAGTATGCGGGCCCATCTAAACGATGCGGCATAACATATGGTCCTAGTAACCTATTTCCTATAATACCTGCCCAAACATTAATGGAAAACTTATCTTGGAATCGAGCTTCGAAAATCGCGTGAGGATTTTCATCTGACCAAATATGATTGTTATGAAAATTTACCACTCCTTCACGCGTAAATCCTGCCTCGTCTGTAAACAAGACTTTATCGAGGAAATGACGGTCCTGATGGCATTTCATCTGCATCCACTGACAAAACTCCACTCTAGGCAAAAAATCCCGAGGTTTTAGCGCTTGAATTCTTTGCAAATGGTATGGATACAAAAGTTCCTCGTGTAAAATTTCCCATACAACACTTTTGGGAATATTCGTTTGTACTGAAATTCTTCTGGTGCTACTACCTGGATTAGCTTCAATCTGTTGTAGAACAATTTCCTCTGTCTGCGCCGTTCGGGTAGTACGGTTTCGTCCACAATCTCTCTTATTTGGCGTAAAATTACCAGTTTCTCTTAATCTCTGATGTAAACTGCTGAACAGTTTATCAGAAGGAAGCTGGCGATTTGGAAAAGTTTCTTGGTACAACCTCCGAGCTTCCAAAGCACAACCGTTTGCTTTGCCATACATGAAGTGCATGTCGGCCATTTCAGCAAAAGAGTATTCCGGCATTTTTTGAAAGACGAGAACAATGATTTTTTTCAATTACACTGTTATTAACACAATAATAATCGAATAAACTTTATTTTTAAACCTTATGTCAAATTCGTTTACCGTAACTACAGTAATTTGACCTTTTTCCATTTTCAACTTAGCACCGACATAAGCCTACTTTGATGTAGAAATTTTTATTATTGGGCGACCATGCATGCACTATTTTCTTTGGAGAGTATTTTCTCGAAAACGGCTAGCCTGACAGGTTTTCTACAAGAATACCTTTTTTATGTCATTTATACCGCGGAATCAGAATTTCTAAAGAAAACTGCAAAAATATGACGTTTAATAAAAATGTGAACAAATTAAATCGAGGCCTCCCCTGTCGGTACGCCCCTGATTAAAATAATAATTTAGTAAAAACACTGAAAAGTACCTACTATTAAAGGCAATTCATATGCCAAAATTCAGATGGCTATCTGAAACGGATCAAGAGACATAAAATAAAACCTATATCCCGGTGCAATCTTTGAATGCAACCTTATGACGCATTTGCGGACCTATGTTAATTTGAACTTTTCTTCATAGTTTAACATGTAGAATCACCCCTAGAATTATTCGAACGGTATTTCTGGACACCCTGTATTTTGAGTTACACTTTTATGAATAACAAAGTACACATTAAAAAAAAAACATGTATTGATAACAAATTTTAACATGCAGTACAGCATTATACTTTTAAGAATAAAAGTCTTTTTTTTCTTTCGTGGTCTGTGAAGAGTGCATAGATTTGAATTCAAAAGCTATTTTAATTTTTCAATTATTGTAGTTCAAGTATAATAATTATTGGCATATTTGTTTATTTTGAACTTTGGTACACTATAAATTAATAACATCTGTCGTTTTATTTGTTTACTTAATAACATTGCCTTTAAAACCCAAAAATATCAAGGTCAAGTTTATATTTATACTCACACAAGTTCATAAACGAATCATTTCGACGATGACCCGCAGTTGTTAACGTAATGAAGACCAAACACGCGACGTTTCCTATTCGAGTATTTCATTAATGGGTTACATAAGATTTGCACAAAGCGTCACAGTAGCAATCTTTGTAATGAAAGAAGATAGAGAGATATATTCGCATTATCCAGCCAAATACGTCTGTAGTATCTTTTTTTGAGGAGGTAATACAAAACAATTCAATATACAGGATGGGCCAATGGAAACTTTCCACCCTGATTTTTTTGGTTTAAAATAAAAATCTGCGAAAACGCTCGGACACGTCGACTTTTGATTTGAGGCGGAACTATTTTTCAGTTTTTTTCATCCCCGTTGCTTTAACCCTATAGCTGGGGAGAGAACAACCCCCCAAATTTGAAGAGGAGATAGGGGTCGTGCCATGCCTCTTTTTAAATGTCTCATCGAGTTTTTTATGACACTACAATTTCGCCTCATTATTTTTATCCGTAACGAAATGACAGCTTGTCAAAATAAAAATAAATAATAGTTATTTATGTATCTAGGGAATTATAAGGACCTTAATTACCGATGGCAAAGTTTGCGTCCCGAGGGCGTCCGGCCCGACAGCAATTGCCTGAGGTTATTAAGGCTCATTAATTCCCGTGGTACATAGATAATTTTATTTCTGACCGATTTCAATAAAATACTGTTTATTTTTAAAACGGAAAAAATGTACCAATTTATTACCTTCCCAGTATATTTGAATCAGGTACCATTGATTATAAGAGTTTTGTTGTTGCTAGGTTGTTGCTATGTTACGTGTTTATAAACAGAATTGTTACTTGTTTATAAACAGAACTTTGTTATCAAGCTGTGTTTGCGTTAAAAACGTGTTTTCTACCCCAAATATAATGGAGCAGATTTTGAAAAAAGCTGAAAAAGCAAGAGAATCATTAATTCCATCGAAAAGTGAAGCCGTATACCAAAAAGAATACAAGATATATCTGGAGTGGCTGACACGGAATAATGTTATGCCAAAAGATGCCACTGAAACTGTATTACTGGCATATTTTCAAGAATTGGTAAGGAATATTCTATGTTTTTCGGTAGATTTGGTAGTAATTTTGTTTATTCGTTGCAGTCAGAAACGTATAGTCCGAATTCTTTATGGACTAAATGGTCAATGCTAAAATCGAAGGTGAATATACATGAGAAACGAGATATCGCCAAGTTCAATGAACTAGAGGCTTTTTTGAAACGGAAGAGTAAGAGTTATAAGCCGAAAAAGTCTGCTGTTTTATCTCCTAATGATGTTCTCAGATTTCTAAAGAACGCTCCTAATGAAATTCATTTACTGCATAAGGTAATTTTTTTCTTATTTTCCTTTTTGTGTGTATTTATTTCCTTTTTTTTTTGTTTTAGGTTGTTTTGATTATGGGTTATTTTGGAGGATGCAGAAGTAAGGAACTTTTGAATATGAAGATATCGGATATAGAGGACCGGGATTCCGTTATGGTAGTGAACGTACCGGAAAGTAAAACTGGTGTATCGAAGAAATTTACAATTGTGGATGAAAAAGAGTTCTCTGCTTTGCCTTTATTAAGACTTTATATGTCTTTGCGTTCTAAAGGTATTGAACGATTTTTTTGCGCTTCCGACAAAATAAATGTACATCTCAGCCAATTGGAAAAAACATGTTTGGGAAAATTCCCAGCAAAATCGCAATGTATTTAGGATTGCCAAACCCATATTCCTATACGGGACATTGCCTTCGTCGCACTTCTGCTACTGCTCTAGCTAATGCAGGAGCAACTACGACTAACTTAAAAAGACACGGAGGTTGGAAAAGTTCCACGGTGGCGGAGGGGTATCTGGAGGATAGCATCGAATTGAGAAATAAAACGACGCGTATGTTGTCTACTTTGCCATTAGAAGAGGCAGGTACCTCGACTGTAGTGAACAGAAGCTCCAGCCATACAAAAGAAGAAATTGTTTCCAGTGGCGGTAGTAATTTTCAGGGAACATTTCAAAATTGTACATTTATTATTTGTAATGACGCAAATAAATAAAATATGGTTCAGTTTTCATTTCATAAATATATACACATATATGTATATTAGCACTTTTTATTTTATTTTTACTTGTGAAAGGTAGAGGGAATTATAGAATCTATAATGTCCCAAGGGAGTTATGACTCTCTTTATTGATAGCGTAACTATGACGATATAAGCTTATAATATCCCGGTCAGAAATAAAAATACTAATTTATAAAGAGGATGATTATGACAATATATTACAATTTGTGGAAGAAATGAGTGAACGGTGTATTGGCAATCCGAATTTCCTGTACAATATCTGCTTTTCCGTTGAATGCTCCTTTTTTCTACATGGGTTGATCAATCGACATAATTGTCGATACTAAAATAATAACTTGTCACAACATGAAGTGTTTTCTCAACAAGATGGGGCTCCAGTCCATTATGCAGCCCCCGTTCAGCAATTCCTCAACGAAAATTTTAGAGGTCATTAGATTGGCCGTAGGGGATATATTAGGTGGCCTGCAAGGTCCCCAGATCTTTCCTGTCTAGGCTTCTTTCTCTGGGGCCATTTGAAGTCTACAGTTTATAAATCACAGCCAGCTTCTCTTCAAGTTCTGCAAGAACGCATAACTGTAGAATGTCAAAGGATAACTGCCGATATGTTGCAGAATGTTAGAGAAGAGATAGATAATCGATTTTATTATTGCAAGGATGTTAATGACGGACATTTTGAACAGTTTGTTAGATAAAGTTCACGTGTAGACCTAATTAATAAATTAGTAAGTATTTTTATTTTGACAAGCTGTCATTTCGTTACGGATAAAAATAATGGTGCGAAATTGTAGGGTCATAGAGAACTCGATAAGACCTTTAAAAGATATGGCACGACCCCTATCCCCTATTCAAATTTGGGGGGTTGTTCTCTCCCCAGCTAGGGGGTTAAAGCTACGGGGATGAAAAAAACTGAAAAATAGTTCCCCCTCAAATCAAAAGTCGACGTGTCCGAGCGTTTTCCCAGATTTTAAAGCAAAAAAATCGAGGTGGAAAAATAACGCTTGTACTTTGATTTATTTTAGTATGTACAGGGTGTCTCAAAGTAGATAGTATGGGCCTACTGTGAGGATACAACAAATTTTCCAGAGAGATATGGTCTAAAAACCAAAAAAAAAATTAAAAAAGTCTCTTACTAATATTCCTACCACTCTTGGACTTTAAGAATACGAAATTCCGATTCAGCATGTCCAAAATCGTAAAGCTTACTATTAGGTTGGGGTATTTGGCATGGATAAATGATTTTAAGCTAGGTACTGAACTATTTTTTTTTAATTTCTAATTAGAGTCACCATTTTGTGGCCGCCATTTTGAATTTCGAAAAATAGCCATCGCTTATTCGAAAGCTCTTGAGTATTCGAACATTTTGAGACCTTAACGTATTTTTTCCTTGCTTTTATTTTTGGAGGGAACGCTGTCACTGTTGACATGGAACGTCCCGTATACAGGCTGTTACAAATTCGCTTCTCACTACAGGGATCTCGGAAACGGTAAGAGGTACGAAGTAGCTTAAATGGGGGCAAAGTTGCGTAATCAGGGGACCAACTTATGCCCCTAAAAAATCAAGGCTAATATGATTAATTTTCGAAATATTTGAAAAAAAAACGAAATTTTGTAAATCCGTCTTTGTTTCATTTCAGCCTTATTTGAGGCGATATTGAAAAAAGAAGAACACTTACTATGGCCACTTTTTACCCTCTATCGAATGGCATAATCAATTTTTAACTGTAACGTTTCATCTCTCCAGGACCATCATGAAAGGCCATGGGAAAGTGTTCTTCTTTTTTGAATATCACCTCAAACAAGGCTGAAATGAAATAAAAACGGATTTCCAAAATTTCGTTTTTTTCCAAATATTTCGAAAATTAATCATGATAGCCTTGATTTTTTAGAAGCATAATGTTGGTCCCCTGATTACGCAACTTTGCCCCCATTTAAGCTAGTTTGTATCTCTTACCGTTTTCGAGATCCCTGTAGTGAGAAGCGAATTTGTAACAAGCCTGTATACAGCATGTTTTATAATTATTTAAATTATTTTATGTGGTTCAGTTTGTTTAGACCGGTTTTGATAGTCTCGATGGTTGCGTTGCAAAATTGGATGCACACAAACTATAAATAAATAATGTTATCAGTATGTGATACTGTTTATCATTAAAAAAATATATAAAGACCATAAAGACATTATGAATCTCTGTACCGCTCGATCTACACTGAACCTAAAAGAAAGACAATACGTAATATTTTTATAAATATAATATTTTACATGTTATAGCAAATATTTTCCTGCGGAGTGAACAGTGAGCAAAAAAATGGTGTTATCTATGGAGAGATGGGTCGGCAGAGTGGCCGTAGTCACCGGAGCTAGTTCAGGTATCGGAGCTGCTATTGCAGAAGCTTTGGTAGAACAAGGGCTTATTGTAAGTAAATTCTAGCTAATGAGATAAAGTGTTAGGTTTATTATAAGGAATTGGAAAACTTTTACAAATGAAGTAAGTCCAAAACCACTATGCTACTTACAATTAGAATCTGTTAACTGGTGCATATCTGGAGAGAGAAATTGAGAATAGTTTTAAGATCTAATTTTAATAGTTTGGGAGTTTTGAAGGATTTATAATAATATGTCTTTTATATAAATTTTGCAACACAAAACTGATCGAAATTACTTGTACAAATAAATTTTTGAGTTCTAAGAATTCATGAAAATAACGTTCTATTGTGGACGTTCTAAAATCAATAGGTTTTTAAAGTCATCAGTGTATTATTGTATGTGAGTTGAATCTCCAATTTGATATTCAGTTTTCAGATCAATATATAATAGTCATGCTAGTGAAGTATTTAACATATAATTGTCATAATATGGATGGCGTTTATACAGGGTGTTCTGAAAAACACTAGCATAAATTCAGGGCCTCAGAATTTCAAAAAATATTACAATTTGTTCCTATGAACCATGGGCGTATCTTTTTCCGTTTTCAAGATTCAGGGCGTTGAAAATATTTTTTTAGTTATACTAGCTGCTTGACTTTGGCGCTCTATGACTGGTTTTTCTCGAAAACGGGCAAATTTTATCACTTCTTACAAGAGCACCTTTTTTGTTTAGAATAAAATTTGCCATAACAGCAAGCGACAAAAGGGGCAAAAAGATTATCCTCAAAAAAGTTAGGACCTAAAATGTTCCCGTGGAGTACTGCACTGAACGCCCTGTATGATATAGCCAAACATTAATAACTCCAGAGCATTTAGCATCCCCAGAAACCTCACATGACAAAATTTAAGTTCATAAATAAGATTGAATAAGTAAGTTAGCTTCGTTCTGAAATCCACATGACTTAAGAATGGAAGAGTACTCGATAATTAAAAAAAATAAGTGTCAAAGGCTTTACTACGTGTTTAAATAAATTTTTCTTACTTTAGGTTGCTGGTTTGGCACGAAGGAAAGATCGTCTGGATGCGTTAGCCCAAAAGCTTTCCAACAAACAAGGTACATTCCACCCAGTCAAAACGGACATAAGTAAAGAAGAAGACATCCTGAACGCCTTCAAATGGATCAAGGAAAACCTTGGCCCAATACACGTTCTTGTCAACAACGCTGGCGTTTTTGGAAAGACTACTCTTGCAGACGGAGACACTGAAATTTGGAAAAACATTCTCGATGTCAACGTCCTCGGTTTGTGCATAGCTACAAGAGAAGCTATAAGGGATATGAGAGAAAATAACGTAGACGGTCACATAATTCACATCAACAGTGTTACGGGACATCAAGTGACCACGTTCCCAAACGCTAACTTGTACCCTGCCAGCAAATTTGCGGTGACGGCCTTGGCGGAGACTTTGAGACTGGAGCTTCTCAACTTGAAGCCAAAAATAAAAATTACGGTAGTTTTACTTTATAATTTAAAATCGTACTTTGCTAAGTTACACATGCAACTAAAATAAATATTGTTCCTGTATAGATCTAATTGCATTTTAGTCAGTAGCTGTATAGTAAGTTTCTATTTGGAAATCAGAATTGCTTCTAAAGCAGAAATATTTATTTTTAGAGCCTCAGCCCTGGACCTGTCGACACGGAAATATTTCCAGACGTCTTTAAAGAACAATTTAAAAAATTCGTTGAAAACAAGCAAATAATCGAAGCCGAAAATGTTGCAGATGGCGTAGTTTACGTTTTATCGACTCCTCCACATGTACAGGTAAGAAAATTCTTAAAGATTTCAGTTAAATACTGCATATAATAAGAAATACATTATTTGTTCTCCTTTACGATACTTCTACCGTCATTTTTTTGTTGTAGTAATGTAGTCTATAAATTTTTTTTATATATTGAATACGATATCTAAAAAAGCACAAATTTAATATTTCATATTTCAACTGCAATTCTGTTTTCAGATTCAGGAACTTACTATAAGGTCAGTCGATGAGTCATTTAGATCCGAAATAAGTACTAACTAGGAATTTATGTTACTGTACTGTTAATAAACCAATATTAATAAGTTTGGTCTGTTATTAGACTACCTATATTCCGTTTGAAATTATTTATATACAGGGTCGGAAAGTCCCCATGGTTCATCGGCCGTTACGTGAGAGCGATAAAGTAAATCATAGAAATCCGTGCGATAGAGAAATGATGACGTTGTTCGTAAAATATATATGTCTCATGATAATAATTCTGTATATGTTTAGCCTTCATTGTCTTACGCTTAGGGGCGCATATTTTTCTAATATAAAATTGTTACAATTATTATTTAAGGTTGTTCATTATTTATGACATGTTCAAATATGTATTTTGTCGAGACCGCCCAGATAGTGCAATAACGACTTCTTTATTTCACATTCAACTTGTTTTAAACAAGATCATGTTGTTCTTTGATTTCTTGTGTTCACTTTGTCACACGTCTATACGAGCCTTGTTGCAGTTACTAACATTTTCGCCCGTGCGGAACGAATCTGGATTAAGCTCGATTGCCTCCCGTATGGGACTCCAGTGTTATGAAGGACCTTCCGAAATCTCAACTTTAGCTGAGTAGCCTCCTGTATGATGGGACCTCAGTACCTTCCGGCTCTGCCGGCTAACTAACACCAAATCTCTTTCAGTTTTACGTGGAAGTGTGTATGACTAATATGGGGTTAACAGATGACATGTAGTGACACATTAAATGAGACAGGTCTTAATTATCATTAGCAAAGGTTCTTAATGTAAGCCTTTGGTTAGCGGTTGTTTTGTATTTATATTTGGGTGGTAAGAGCTACGATCGTGGGTTTCTCTGCCATGCTCTTTCCCCGCAGGAGCTCTAGGTGAGCCTGGCACTCTCCTTTTATGTTTAAGGGTTGTTAATGTTTTTGTTGTTCTTTCTATTTGTCACATGTTTAATTTGAATTGTATGTAAATAAAAGTTAGGTGTATTTACTCTGCTTTTGTTTTATATAATTAAACCATACATCCCCTCTACAAAGTTAGTAGCCAGTGCCTTCCGGTCAATTAAAAAATAGAAACATACAACGTAGGGATTCCTTATGACGATCACATATTTTTGGCCACAACTACGTTTACTTATTTTTTTGTCGAACCTAGGGTTGTTATACTACAACGTATCGATCCGAAACTTGCAGTATAAATGCCGTACTGTAATAAATCACCAAAACCCGCGCCAACATTTTCGGAAAATCAAAAATTTTTCAGCCTTCCGGTATTGCTATTTTTGTACGGCATTAGGTCGAGGTTCATTTTTTTTGTACAACCTATACACAGAAATGCCGTACAAAAATGTTTTGCCGAAACCCCCCCCCCCCTCTCCCCCTTGGTGGACAGGTTTAGCTTACCTGTGTACTCACCTGTACCAACAAGAATTGACGGCATAGTTTCTAAAGTTATTGTTATATGTGATAGTATTGATTTATAAGTAATTCATGCTGGGTCAAATGACCCCTTGAAAATTTCCGATGGGCTTGTAGTCTATATTGGCCCCACAGCGTCCATCTTTGGCACAGTTTTGAAGAACAATAAAACTCACAACTTTTAGGTATATTTATAAAATTGCAACAAATATCAATCCAGTTACGGATAATTAAAAAATGCTGGTTTTTCCACGGTTTTTATTGTTTTTTTGCAATAACTTTTAAACGATTTATCCGATTTTAATTTATCAGACGGCATTTTGTAGGTCTTTTTATTGCGCATATTTCGTCTGTTGAACCAAATTGTTCTAAAACAAAATAATGTTGCTAATGAAAATAAATTACTCACGAGATGATCCACCTTTTCTACAGCCTTCCCCTGCACATTTCAACAATAAAATAGCGGACGTCAATTCATCGATTTTTTTTAGTCCATTTACTGCTATAGCGGGGCGTCTATATCCAGTTTTTCTGTTGGTTGATACATGTTTTAGTTTATTAAGGGGGGGGGGGCGTAATTAGTGTATTTCAACTCTTTTATAGTTTATTTAGATGAATTTATGTTCTATCATTGTCTTACAAAAAGTGCGATTTCTGTATTTAATAAATACATCCGTTTCACAGAATTCTCTTAATGTAAATATTTTGAAAACGATTAAAGATGTGAGTTTCCACAATTCATTACAATTTTCTGTAGTATAGACATTCAAATTATTATTTTTTTAAAATTGTCCTAGTAAAAAAGAGAAAATGTTCACAGCAGAGATTTTATATGATTACGCTCATAAAATGGTTCAGAAATGATACGTTAAGTTTGATCTAAATTTGAGGTCAGTATCTCAATAATACTTGAGCGAAACATATAAATGTAAATGAGTTCTTGATAATTCACTTTGATCAGTTGCGAAGGTCACCCTAAGTGACTTACGTAAAAGCGACTTGAACTTTAGATTTATTACCCATTAACTTAAGGGCGCCAAATTTTTTAAATAGTGTTTTCTGCAAAGACAAATAATTTCAAACATTTAATAACTGAATAATCTAAAGCTTATCAAATAATTGGAATGCTATGTCATGCCACCTTAGTATTTTCAAAGTAAAACGAATAAACAGGTACAAAAAACGATCAAACCATCAAGGCTTTAGGTACTGAAATCTACGAAAATACTAACTTTTTTATATATATAACTCCAGATGTAAATATTCTTATAACATTCACTTGCCTAGTCCTACATATAAAATTGTTTACTTTCATTTATAAGTACAGGGTGATCGATTTAACTGAAAAGATTAGTTTTTCTGGGAAATGGACGAGAAAAATAAATTATTTTAGAAACTATTTAATTTTTGCTTACTTTTACTAGAAGTTAGGTCACAAATACAGAAATTATCTTTACGACGCTAGGCGTCGCGGCGCTTCAAAAAATTTTGTTCCAGCAACATACGTTTTTTAAAATGCCACGATAAAGATCCCTTAACTTTGAATATTTTTCCTATATAACATTTCTTTATGTTCCCATTATTTAAAAATTCGCTAGTGAATTTCTCTATCTCTTAATTATTATTGCAACGACGTAGTCAGCGATATAGATCTTTTTCAATGCTCTTGCTGGTTCAGTATATCAATAGCTATGGTCCTATTTACAATAAAAAACGTATTCACTATAAACAATTTAATAACACAACTGTGTATACAGCGATTACATTAATTTGTAAGAATTACAAACCCACCTATCATATAAGGGAGACCACAACAATATAAAGGATATCAACTGAAATACGAAAATAGAAAAGGAATATCAACTGAAATAAATAAACACAAAAATAAATAAACACAATACTTAATGTTCTAATAGGTTCAATGTGAGCACCATTATTATTTAAACACAATTCGTAAGGTTTTCTTAGTTCACTGGACGTTACTTTTTTTTAAAATATTGCCACGTATCTCAGCACATGCAGCAGTGATTTTCTGCTTCAAATGATCAATACTGTTTGTTTTAGTTTTATACACAATATTTTTTAGGGCTCCCCACAAGAAGAAATCAAGAGGGGTTAGATCTGGGGCTCTCGGAGCAAATTGTAAAGGGCCATTAGTACCTATCCACTTATTTTTAAAGTGCAAATTTAAATAGTTTTGAACAACTGCAGTATTATGGTAAGGCGCCCTGTTCAGTTGAAACCACAGGTATCTCCTAATTTGAAGTGGCACATTTTCCATAAGAATAGGAATTTCATTTGCAAGAAAATTGCAATACCTTTGTCCCGTTAAGACACCATCATAAAAATATGGATCTAGTAAATGGCGCCCTACAATTCCACACCATACATTGACACTAAAGTCACCCTCCCTTTGAACTTCTGTAATACTATGTGGGTGTTCGTCCGACCAATGATGAGTATTTTTCCGGTTTGGAATGCCATGACTAATAAAATGACTTTCGTCTGTCCACAAAATGTGGTTATACAAATTAGGATCATCTAATGCAACTAAGAACTGAGAAATAAATTGTTTTCACGGTTCAAAATCTCCAAGATTTAATTCATGCGCACTATATATTTTATAATCGTGAAATTAATTCTGAAATCGCCTCTCACTGACCCTACCAGAAGTAATTTTTCTCAAATCAACTTTGGAATAAGCTTGAGCTTGATTTATTAATACATATAAATGGACTTCGGATTCGGACTGAGCGACTATAAGAACGGTGTACTCCCCTAGACCTATGGGCTTAGGTTTACAATAATTAAGAAAGTTGGTGTAGGTACAGGAAGAACTGATACGTAGTAGATTATTACAATATTTATCCACGACTATTGTATAATGTACCCATTATACGTCTGTTTGCTCGACCTTAATAATACCTATTAATCACGGCAGTGATTAATGAGTCATTAATCACTACTGTCAGATGCTTCCTTAATTTAGCTATAATATTATATTGTTCTGCTACAAACAATCCGTTTTTAAAATTTTATCGTGTAAACCACTAAATATTTTCAATTCAGTGCTGTACAAAAAGTGAATTTTCCTAGACCGGATTCGAACCCGGGACCCGCGGTTGGAAGGGAAAGAGCATCTACACTGAGCCATCAGCGACTTCATTTGTGCGAGTCGTATATCTGTTTCTTAACATACCATGTTTTTCGAAACATTTCAAAAAAAACTTCAACAAAAATATTTAGTAGTCGTGGATAAAGTATAGTATTCTACTCCCGTATAATGGGTATTATTCACTCGGTGATTTAGGCCACTCGCCTGCGGCTCGTGGCCGTAAACTTCACCTCGTGAATAATACCCATCATTATACGCTCGTTGAATAATATACTATTATTACTCGATTCCAATGACAATTGACATTAATAGCCTGACGGCTTACAAACGATTGCTAAATCTAACTACTATGTGGTGGCGCTCAGTGTCTCCAAACAGGAATGTGGTGTTCGCGGATAGATACAGTAACAGATATCTGACCTTAGATCCTTCAATTTAGTTATCTACAATACTTCAGAGCTTCTTCTGCTTTTCTAGATGATCTGGAATGTCAGTGATCTCTTGGAGTAGTAATTTAATGTAACACAGAAGCTGATTCTTCCAGACTCCTGATTTCCTGTATCTCCTGTCAATCTCTTGACTTTTCTCCTACTGTCCCCACACACCCCGCCACCTATTCCTCGTTTTTCCGCCGACTTTATTCCATAAATTAACTTTAAAATGACCTTCAAATGACCTTGAGATGACCTTCAAATAACCTGATACAGACAAACTGACCTCGGATTCGAATTCAGCGACCCCAAAATCCTGCATAACATGTGGTCGGACTTGATTGCTCGGCTTTTTCTCAATTTGACCTTGAAATGACCTTGAGGTGACATTGTTTAACTTCATTTGATTAGATTTTGTAAAAAGAATATTTGAATTTGCTTGATTTAGTTTAACCTTTATAATAAAATAAAAATAATGTAGTTTATACAGGGTGTCCCGAAATTCATGCAACAAAATTTGGTCATAGATTCTTAAGACAAATTTAGGGGACTCGTATTTTTTCTTTTTGCCAAGTGGCCCCCTCTTTCGGGTTACAGCCCCCTGAAATCTGCCCGTAAGAAGTCTTTTTATCTCAAAACCATGTTGTACGAGAATCACTAAATTTGGTACACAGGGGTTTTATGACATGTGGAATCTCACAGTGCTACGCTTTTTGGCGAGAAACCCCCTTAAGACACTTTTTCGTGGGCCACATTGTCTTTGGAACCAGAAAAATTTGGTCGCAAATTTGATTTTTTTTAAAATTATTAGTTAGCTAGAAAGCCATTGAATTTAGAAACTTTTTTGTCTATTGATATTTGTTTCGTAAAACGCAATGTTTTTGAGGAAAATGGCAAATAACGATATGCATTCGATCACATTTTGACTTTGCGTTTTACGAAATAAGTATAAAGAGACAAAAAGTTTCTAAATTTAATGGCTTTCTAGTGGACTGATAATTTTTAAGAAATTTAAATATGCGACTAAATTTTTTTGGCTCCAAAGACAAGGGGGCCCACGAAAAATTGTCTTAAGGGGTCTCCCCGCCAAAAAAACGGAGCACCATCAGATTCCACATGCCATAAAACCCCTGTGTACCAAATTTAGTCATTCTCGTACAACAGGGTTCTGAGATATTAAAAAAAGATTAGGGACGGACTTCAGGGGGGCTGTAACTCCGAAAGAGGGGGCCACTTGGCAAAAATAAAAAATACGGGTCCCCTAAATTTGTCTTAAGAATCTGTGACCAAATTTTGTTGCATGAATTTCGGGACACCCTGTATTAACAAAATAAGGTAAATTTAAGTACGTGTATATTGCAAGTCATTACGTTAAGGTCGCCGACAAAACTGATAAAAATGTAACAACTGAGATAAGTCTTTAAATAAATGGAATTAATCAGTTGAGAGCTATATACGTACAGACTGAACCATAATTTTCTTTTATTGCGATGTACATGTTTGTTATCAAGATCTTTAAGTGGGATAAGACACATGTAAAAGGTCTGATGGAATCAAAATATGTAATCAATTAAATAATCTAAAATCGATTTAAAAGTGTTTTTTTTTAAGTCATCGAATAGTCTGAAAAATAATTCATTATTTCCATACTCTAATAAACGCAAGGCCTAGAACATGGATCCTACGAGAAAAAGTGAGAATCAAAGAAAATTGTATTCCCTACAAATTTGATTATGGGTTAATTAACCAAAATTTTTTTAGATTTAAGTCGGAATATCTCAACCGTGGACTAAAAATGCTAATAGACAAATTGTAGAGAATTAAATTTCCTATAAGACTGATTATAAACATTTTCAGACAAAATATAAAATTACCTAAGTGAAGTACTTGATAAAAACCAAATTCACTCTTAAATTCAAGGCTGTTGATACTATACAGTGTGCGGTCACAAAAATCTTAATTTGAACTACTAGTTTAGTTACAGTCCGTACAATATTTCTGGAGATAGAATTCCAAGGAGGCCCCTACGTCACTTTCTTGGAATTAACCGCATTCGACACCCGAGGTAGGAAGATATAGGTACGAGGAAAATTTCAAGGCACGCTCGCGGTAAATTGTTACAGTAGTTCCGAAAACAGAACTTTATTGGCTTATTCTTTTCTTGAGATTCTATCTCAACAAATATTGTACAGGGTGTCTCAAACTTGATAGTATGGGCCTACTGTGAGGATACAAAAAATTTAAATAAAATTAAAAAGTTAAATGGGATGAGGAGGTAAACTCCATTTTCAATCGAAAGTATTATTTTTGGGATTTGACAGAAACGAGTAATGACGTCATCAATTATATTTTTTCCAGAAACATACCCAATTTTTTTCCTGTTAAAAAGCTCTCTTTTTTCTAATACACTTTTATTAGAGAAATTTTTCTGTATTACTTCCCGTTTAAAAATTATAAGCAATATCGTCCTAAAGAGAAATACCACCTAAAAATCACATTACCGGTGGAGGGATCAAGTAGTCGTTGGAAAATAATTCAATGTTCGTTGTTTAAAGTGCATAAATATCATTAACGATAAATAAAAGGATTAAACTCTATAATTCTTTAGTACAGTTAAAACAAAAGGTGATGATAACAACTAAACTTAAAAAATGAGGCAAACGCTTTCACACTTCATACATATTACAAATATATTCTCTATATCTTATCTCAATACACATCCAATCTTCGCCTGACTTCTTTGTGGACTGCGTTTATTAACATTTCGTCGTTTAACTCATTACAACCGTTTGTGATTTTTTCTTTCAAATGATTAATATCTAGCGAAGATATTTTGTAAACTTTATATTTTAAAACCCCCCCATAAAAAAAATCGAGGGGTGTTAGATCTGGTGACTTGCCGGGCCACTGAATAGGTCCATTAAGCTCAATCCATTTCTCTGGGAAAGTGTTATCTAAGTGTTGCTGCACAATCCTGACCTTCTTCTTCTTCTTCCTTCTGACAAGTTCTTCTTGTAGGATATTTAGGTAACTCACGCTGTTCAATGTATGTTCATAAAAATAAGGCCTACCCATGATGCCGCACCATACATTTACTCCAAAATAGTCTTGGTTTTGGACTGGATTTACAATGTGGGGAATTTCAATAGACCAGTAATGTTAGTTGCGCCTGTTTGGAAAACCATTACTGACAAATCGATTTTCGTCCACCCAAAGAACACGCCGAAAAAGGTTGTGATCAACAGTTTTTACATTTACTACAATTTGAGCTATAAAATTAAGTCTATTTTCAATGTGACGCTCAGGCAAATACTCGAAACCGAATTTTGTAGTCATGATACCCATTGGTCTTTAAAATTCGTTGAACGGCTGATTTATCCAAATTCAAAGGGGATTTCGATCTGCCGAGGCAAGCATCACGGACGTGGGCTGGAATTTGGATGGGTGACCTAAGGCAGGCTCGGGGACGTGGCTGTGGCAGCCTACCAGAAACCTGCGTCGCCCAACATTTGCCGCACGAGTGTGGTCCCCGATAAATGGTAACGAGAACAGAGCAAGAAAATCTCTGTAACTCAAGACCATGCTATCATACATAAACTGTACGAGACTTTGCCACCAAGCCACCCGTGAAGTAAAATAGGATGGTTTGAAGAAAAGTACTCGAGAAGACAATTCCACCACCCCTCCGACATACATACATACATACATACATACATACATACATACATACATACATACATACATACATACATACATACATACATACATACATACATACATACACATACATACATACATACATACATACATACATACATACATACATACATACATACATACATACATACATACATACATACATACATACATACATATCCAAATTCAGTTACCGGCTATCCTGCCGTATGGAATTTCGTGGATTTTGTTCGAAATACTGTAACAGTCTAGCTGTATTAACATTGTTTCTTACCCTTCGATCAATTATTTGATTTTTCCGAACAGAAAATGCATCTTCATTTCGTTGCAAGGTCGCTTCCAAAGGTTCTATGATCAGGAATGAGGCGCTCTGGATACCTTTCTTCAATATTTTTTGAGACTCGTCGTAAATCAGCAGCATATCAACGTTTTCTGAATGAGAACATTTTGTAAGCACAAAAGTTATACGTTTGACACTCGTATTGAGTAATGACAAGCATTTTGTGGCATTTAGGAACTTTAAACAACGAACATTCAATTATTTTCCAACGACTACTTGATCCTTCCACCGCTAATGTGATTTTTAGGTGGTATTTCTTTTGAGACTCTTGAGGGGAAACAATTTGGGTATGTTTCAGGAAAACATATAATTGGTGACGTCATTAGTCGTTTCTGCCAGACTGTAACTACCTCAACAATTAAAAAAGGAAACTTGTGGTATAAATCAACTTTAAAAGCCATATTTTTATTACGTCCAATAAAAAAAATGAATTTTAAAACATTATCCCACATCATACGTTGTCCTGAATATAAATTATAGCGCGACCACTCGGTATAGATATAATTAAAATAATTTTATAGACACATTTTGTAATTATTTATAAATGATTATTTGAGATAAAAATATATTAAAAGTAATAACTAAAGATACCGTAAATAGAGATAAAAAGTCTATAATACGAGAGTAGATATTCAGTATACTGTGAGGTAAAAAAAAATACAATGGTGCTGTCTATGGATCGTTGGGTGGGCAAAGTGGCCATAGTCACTGGTGCTAGTTCAGGAATTGGGCATGCCATTGCAGTGGCGTTGGTGGAACAAGGTCTTATTGTAAGTAGCATCTTTTAATTAGGAATTAAAAGCAATAAAATAGCAACACAAACATATAATTTAAATTGATTATAAAATTATTCTTTTTCTTGAGTTGGTTTGATACACATCATTTAAGAAGATGCTGCATATTTCAGATTCTCAAACCAGGGCAAGAGAATTTATAAAAAAAATTACTGAAAAAGTTAAAAAATTTATTTTCGTGAATAAATTAAAGAATTTGATTTATTTACATTGAGAATAAGTGAAAATTTATGTAATGTAAATGTGAAATGTTAAATACAAATACATCGCTCAAAATAAACAAGAGAAAACACAGGAACAAGGATGTACGTTGTATGTACTAGGACTCCACTATCATAGTTTTGATAGTTAGAAACAGAGGTATAAAAAAGGTCAGATGGGCCTTGCAGGAACATACAGTTCTTGCAATTCAATTTAATGTTGACGATGATAAAATGTGTGTGTCTAAAAAATATTGGAAGTCAAGTCACAGTGCCATTAATTCAAATGAGGTATATTAAATTTCAATCTATTCAGAATTTCAAGACAATCAATCAAATAATTCACAATTTTGAATAGCTTCGTCACATAGGTAGCGTCTAGACTGTTGACCTTGTACTCTGTTAATAAACAGGTCGTGGGGATGACCTATAGGTGAATAAAATGCGTTTGCCTTAAACTAAACGTACTTCAATTTTCTTTGTACAGGGTGATTCACTATATATTTTGACCCCTCCTTTAACTTTTTTGTTTTAAGAGTTATAAAAAAATTTAAGGTACAAAAGTTTCTTTATGAATTTTTAGAAGATGATATTTGAAAAACAAATGAAGTCGCAAATTGTTAAGTTTATTGATTTATATGGAGCACCCTGTATATTTTTACATATTTGGACAGAACGTTCCATCTCTAACAATAAGCGAGATACTATTAAAAAAAGAAAACAGTGTTTTTTATTAAGAAAATAAGTAGGCCTCTTTCAAGCACTTCTGTCTTTTTCCAATTACGTAAAGATTTACAGATTTAATTGTAATATATTTTGACATATCGGAAATTGATATGGTCCAAAATGCGTATAGCTATTTTAACTAAATCTCACTAATTAGGCCGTGAGAGGCCTAATTACTCATGGACAATGTTATATGCTAGGCCATGACAATGACAGGTAATGTCATGATAACATTGTTATTGATTGACAGTTTGTATTATTTTTTAATTAAAATAGGTTACACAGAAATAGAAAATTGAAATATTATTACGAATTAAAATAGAGTCAGACAGACAGACTGTCAAAGCTGACGGCCTATTGTTAAACAAATTAGGTTGGTAGCGGCAAAAAAATACTGTCATAACCGGCAATCCGAGTACTCTCCCAGACAAAAATATTTTATTTGTGGAAGTATGTTACGACAGCGAGTCCGAAGAAATTGACGATAATATTCATAGTCCTGCCGTTAAAAAAGCGAAATTCGCTTGAAAATAATATATTTTGATAGTCTGTAACTCCGTTGCTTTTCAATGAATCTTGACGATTTTTTTAACTTAAAGCTCTTTTCGTAAGCTTTCCAAATATGTAATAATATATAATTATATCACGCGCGTGCGTCGTATATTTAATTTTGCAAATAAGGCTAAAAAATAAAAAACTTTTCAGGTTGCAAATTTGAAATTATAGATTTCAATGTATTATTATGAAATCTACCATGAAAAAAATCAGTGCGATTGTGGAAGATTCTTGGGAATGTCCAGACTAATAATTAGTTAATTTGTTTATAAGGTCATAATTTGTAAACTATTCAACTTACCGATTCCAGATTTCGTGCGAGTTATTAGACAGTGATAAGGAATGAGAGGATGCGATGCCAAAACGTTCTGGTGATAATAACGCAGTTTATAAATGTTTAATTCAAAAGTAATAAATAAATTTCTTCTGTTTATAACTTTTGATCTAATCAATATTTTTTGACGCTCGAAGTCTTTTGAAGACGAAAAAAAAGTACTCTACTGTTTTCTCGTGGAAATGAACGGAAAAAGTTGTAAGCGAAAAATGTGAATGTACGTAAAAATCATACAATTAATCAGTCTGTAAACAATCTTCCCCCCATTTTTATGACTGTGGAAACTAATATGTTATTGTACATAATATTTAGTATCTATAATGATAAATAATTCAGCTTGCTGAAACAAAAAGTCGCGTCCAACTCTATATTTCCTGGCCTATCAGGTATATTTTCAAATCATAAGATATTGGAATTGCTATTAGCACAATGATTTTTTTAGCAAATTTACAAAATACATTCACTATTTCCTACAAATTATCAAAAATATCGGCATCTAACTTCATTTTAGACGACGTACAAGAGTCTTTTTCTTGTTACAATATGTCCAGACCTAGTCAGGAATTGAGGAAATATTGAATTAGATATCATTGATAAAATTTATGAGAAATCGAACTCTTAATTTCTTAAATTCATTCTCTGACTCAATCGATACAACCCTGTTTTAGATTTAACTCAATAAATACTTTTTTCCCAAATAAGTTTCTTGATATTTGAATTGAACTGAGAATGATAGACACAACTAATATAATACCAGCCAGAGGACTCAATGTCTCCCAACAGCCAGGGGAGAGACGTCCCAAAACTTTTTTCTAATGTTGAATTTTTATCTTAAAAAAAGATTATTAGGTCTCTAAATATAAATAATATGTAGAAGTTTATGCTGTTAAAGTATTTTTTAATAAAGATGTTTAATAGTAACACTTTTGTTTTAAAAAATTACGGTACCTATACCATTATATCTGCTGCTCTGCTCTATATACTGTCAACTTCAACAAATATGTATCAGTTTCTCAAAAATTGAAACTATAGTTCCCACTTATATTAATTAAGTTTCATTTGGTATTTTTTTTAATCTAGGTAGCTGGTTTGGCGCGAAGAAAAAATCGCTTGGACGCGCTGGCAAAAGAGCTTTCTAACAAGAAAGGCAAGCTCCACCCCATCAAGACAGACATGACTAAAGAGGAAGACATTATAAACGCTTTCAAGTGGGTCAAAGAAAACTTAGGCCCAGTTCACATTCTCATCAACAACGCTGGTGTTACGGGATCCACATCACTTGCAGATGGAGACACTGAAATTTGGAAGAACACTCTTAATGTCAACGTTCTGGGTTTGTCCATAGCCACGAGAGAAGCCATAAGGGATATGAGAGCGAACAAAGTAGATGGTCATATAATTCACATCAATAGTATTGCAGGACATCAAGTAACGAAGTTTCCAGACGCTAATGTTTATTCTGCCAGCAAGTTTGCGGTGACTGCGTTAGCGGAAACTTTGAGGCTGGAACTGCTCAGTTTAAAGTCAAAGATAAAAATTACGGTAATTATACGGTGTCTGTTAATGAATGGGCCAAATGTGGGCAAATTCACATACAAACTTGTCTAAAAACCCTTTGTTTCTAAGGTACAGGTTGTTGAATTCAAAAAAATTGATCTTGGTTTTAATCATAAACTCACCAAATAACTCAAAACACAACCACACAAAAAAAGAAAAGTAGTCTGTACTTTTCATGCGACATATGTTATCAGTAGTATTTTTGCCTCCTTTCACGAAACAGTGCTAGGAAAACTAGAAAAAGTTAGTTAAGAACCCGTCGAACGTGAATTAGCAGTTAGAATTGATGGTTCTTTCTCTAACCTCAAAAAAAACGGGTCAATTAAGGTCAGATATCACGAATTTTCAAAAAATAACAAATTCGCGCCAAATATGGTATACGGTGGTTTTCGGGGTCGCTGATCACGGATCCGAGGTCAATTTTACAAAATTCAAGATGGCGGATCCAAGATGGCCGACCAAATATGCAAAAAATAACAGATTCGCATCAAATTTGGTAAAAGGGGGTTTTCGGGGTTGTTGATAATGAATCCTAGATTAGATTTACAAAATTCAACCCGTGAATAGATTTTTTACAGAAAAAAAGAACAAGATATTGCCGAAAAAAGTAGATTAACACATGATTGGATACTCAGGTTATAAAGTAAAATATTACAAAATGAGTTTCGCAATTCTGACCTAGAATACGTAATCAGCGACCCCGAAAACCCCTGTATACCAAATTTTCTTCGATTCTGTTATTTTTTTGAAAATTTTGTCGGCCATCTTGGATCCGCCATTTTGAATTTTGAAAAATTGACCTCGGATCCGTGATCAGCGACCCAGAAAACCCCCGTATACCAAATTTGGCGCGAATCTGTTATTGTTTGAAAATTCGTGATATCTGACTTTAATTGACCCGTTTCTTTGAGTTAGAAAAAGAACCAATAATGCTGACCGCGGATTCACGTTGGGCGGGGTCTTAGCTATATAAATAAACATTTGAATATAGAAAAAAACATTGTTTGTATTTTTCCTAGCACTTTTTAATTAATTTTTGCCATTTTTTACCTGTTTTTTGAGGTTAGGAAATTCCTGTGATGTGATAGCTCAATTCTGACACCGGATTCGTGATTAGGAGGCAAAAATACTACAGATAAAATATGTCGCATGAAAAGTACAGACTACTTTTCTTTTTTTGTGTGGCTGTGATAATTAAAGCAGCAGAAAAATTTACAATTTTTTTTAATGATTTTTGAAAGGTTGTAACTTCGTGAATGATGGTCGTATCGAAGAAAAAGGCATATTTTCATCATCTTGAAGCTTGAAGATGCCAGTTTTGAAAATATCAAATTAATACTGAGTATAAAAAGAATTTTTTTCTCAATAAAAATAACTTATTCTGCTGTTATAGAAAATCATCGATTACTTTGCAAATATTGTGAAAAGTACCAATGCTTGTAGTTTTTTTTTTAGCTCAATACATCGATCGGTCGATCCGTTTTCCTTTTCTGAATCATTAAATTTTTATAAAAAATTAAAGGAGCATGTTTATTGTTCCTTAAGCATCAATTAATAATTAAGATGAAACAGGTTTTTTTACGTTGTTTTCTCGCAATTTCGCGTTAAATACTTATCAAATATCGAAAACAAAATCAAAATTTTGAAAAAAAAAAACACAAATTTTTCGAGATTTTTTAAACTTTTTTTGTGTTCTCGTTTTTACAATTTTGCATTGAATACTTTGAATGTAGAGAAAAAAATGTATTTTTTGAAATTAAACAAACAGGTTTGGATGACTTGATTTTTCCAGATTTTTTTTTGATATTTGATGAGTATTTAACGCGAAATTGATGTTTAAGGAGCAATAAACCTTTTCCTTTAATTTTTTATAAATTTTTTATAAATTTATAAAACGATTCAAGAAAGGAAAAATTTCATGGGCATGTATTGAGCTAAAAAAACCTACAAACATTGGTACCTTTTGCAATATTCGCATAGTCGTTGATTTTCCAAAACAGCAGAAAAAGTCATTTTTTTACATTTTTATTAAATGCCCTTGACAAGGAGTGGTTCAGGTTTCTAAAACCTAATAGATGATAAAAAAAAAGGTGACTTTTCACTCAATTGCCGATATGTCAATGTGAAATAATCGTCCAGAACATAAATAAAAAACAAATTGAAGATAATCAAAAAAATAAAATTGCAAAATTTTTGCCATGCACTATTTCTTTTGTTACACCGAGAGTTATGCTCAAAAAAATTTTTCATCTCAAGATTTCAAAACTATAATCTTCAAGCTTCAAGATGCTTCTTTTTTTCTCGATACGACCGTTATTCACGAATTTACAGCCTTTCAAAAATCACTAATGAAAATTTGTAAATTTTTCTGTTCCTAAAATATTTTTGCAGAGTGTATTTTAGTTAGTTAATCCTTGAAATGTGACATCTGGTGTAGTAGATGCTAATAATTTTTTAAAAGTATTTAAATAATCTTATTACTCGAACATTACAGATTGCCAAAGCAGTACAGTTCAGTCCACACCAGTCTCGTGTGGGGAATCTAATTCTGTTAAAATCCAAGCGTCATCTATTTTCCACCGAATGTGATTATAAATGTTAACCCATTTTTGTGATTTTTAAGTTTAGAGGAAAAGCCAAATAGGAAAAGTAGCTATCGACCAGAAGAATAATGCGGTTATACAAATTTTGAACAATGTCTTTTAAAAATCGTGACAAACAAAACTCTTAATTTTTTAAATGAAACGCACTTTTACATATTTGAATAGAGATCCTTTTCAGGATTATAGTAATGCGAGTATAAGATTTAATGCGTTTGCCTGTCCTGATAAGAAAGATTTTGGTATTAGAACATGCCATAAATATAATGTGGTCATATTTTTCTTATCATTAGAGGTAAATTCATTAATCCTTGTATCACTACAATCTTAAAAATAGTATAAAGGCCATTCATTTAAAGAAGATCCCTTATAATGGCATTTGTACGCCACTGGATGTTAGAATACAGATGAACTATACTCGATAATAGAGGTCCAAGATATTGTTCTTTATGTAAAAATCCTAATTCTACAAATTAGTTGGTTTCTGAACCGAATACTACGTAAGTTTCCAAAATGTGAATAAAATTAGTTTTAGTATGAAGCGCCTATTGGCAATTTTTTATATGGATTACCCCATTTTCACCGTAGAATTTAGTAACGAAATTTGGCCTATTCTTTAGCAAAGGCAATGTATTTTATAATTTAAGACTAGCCCTTTCCTGAATTAAACTAAATTAAATATTTTGTACTATATATCTAAACAAATATCACGAAATAATTCAATTTAAAATGATAATGTGAGTGTTTTCAAGCAGTAATATCTATTTTCAGAGCCTTAGTCCCGGACCTGTAGACACAGAAATTTTTCCAGATATTTACAAGGAAAGGTTGAAAAAGTTCATTGAAGAAAAGCAAATAATCGAACCTGAAAACATTGCAGATGGAGTCGTGTACGTTTTATCAACACCTCCTCACGTGCAGGTAAGAAAACTTTGATATTTTCAAAAATTTTCGTAAATGGAGGTTTAATATTTCATATTTTTGGTTGCTAAATGCCAAATCTAAAAGCTATTTGCCACCTTACAACCGAAAAATAACCGAATTTAATTGTTGGAACATTAATTGTAATTTATTTTCCAGATTCAAGAACTTACTATAAGGTCGGTTGATGAATCATTTAGATCTGAAGCGGCCACTTATAGCAGCAAGTAATTTGTATTATTATATCAAGAACAAATGTATCTTACAAATTTGGTCTATTTTTACCCTACAATATGCCTTCTTGCGAATTTATTTCATAAATATATACAGAGTGTAAATAAATAAGAGGTGAATTCCCTGTGGGAAAGTAAATCTCATTTGAACACCCCCTGTGAAGCTGCAACCGCTTAAACAGGATACCAAAAAAGTAGTTTTTAATTTTTTTGTGAAGTACCAATAAAGTGACAGATATGAAATTAAGTGACATTTTCTGCTATCGAAGAAGGCACTCAATTGTTGATTTTCCCCTACGGTTGTAAGGGGTAAGAAAAGTCACCCCTAAGACTTGTTTCATACGTAGGTAACTCTTTCTTATTACTACCTTACCATTAAAAATTTTTCAATTATTTAGGATAGCCTGATTCATTCTAAAAAAGGTCTCTTGTAATTTTTTCGTAAAATTAACGATTTCTGAGCAAATAATTTATTTTATCCACAATCACCTTATAATCGGACTTATATCCACACATATGAATCGTCTAAAGTGATACTTTATCCACTAGTGGAATATTTCACTAGTAGAATAATGAAAAAATAATAAACCAGTAATAAATTAACATTTACATTTATAGTAATAGATATTTCGTTTTTTATTTTATCACGTTTAACTTCCTTTCCGTTAATAACAACCCTTGTAGCATTGTTGCCATCATTTTCGGAACGCAAGTTACGGATGTCTCTTCTTGTAAGTAACAGCTATATTTTCCTTGGAATTTTCTTTGCAATATCAAGTTTTCAATATATAGACTCCTCAACATAACTTTTTGCTACAGAGGAGCTCTTTCATCCACCATGACGTTTGATGGTTGTAAGATCAGCACCTTTATTGGCCAATAAAGTTGTTGAAGTGCGCCTCATACCATGGCCAGTATAAGCTTCTGGATTTGCGACATTCAAGAATGAAGCAACTATTGAGGGTAACTTCGCCAATGTGTTGATTCCAACAGGCTGAGAAGTACATTTTTTATTGAATCTGTCTTGTGTTAGGCGAATTGGGCGCAGAGAAATATATTTTCTGCATATTTCAATATCATTCACGCAAAATCCTTCTGTAATCGTAAATTTTCTTGAAATGCCCGTCTCGGTGTCAGGTATTGATGAAAGTAGGTAACTGCCAACGTCCTGTACGTCAATAATTTTAAAATTTGTCAATTCGCAGCATCGACAGGCACCAGAAACCCCCATTATTAGTGCAATCTAAAATAATTCAAAGTTCACTATGTACCTAATATGTAAAAAGTAAAGAGATATTACCTTAATCATGAAATATTCTTTATCGTAAGCCCCAGTCAAAAATTCTTCAATATGTGCTATTTCAAATAATGCAGCTTTTTCCTTTGTATCCTCTCGATTCAATCTTCAAATAAACAGTGAGCTTGTTATATTTTTGTAGACCTTTATAGTAGCCTTCAACAGCGAATACTTCGACCACATAGATGAAATTGCATATTTTTTCTTGAAAGTTTAAAAATACGATAGCATGACATCTTCATTTATTGCCATTACTCTCCGTTTTCCCTCCATTCGTTAAATTCGGCGAACACATTTTGTAATGTTCTCTGGATTTCGCTGGCAATAAATGGAAAATTGCTTCTTGAGTTTTTCATCCACAGGAACACAATTATTTTGTTGCATTTTTACCAAATTCAGATAGAACTGTTTACTAAATAAGTGATAATAAACCCTAATTGTCTGAACCTTATTTTCTGTTGTGCTATATCTTCGATGCAAATGGTATTGTTGTTATAATAATAGTTTTTTAAATATTTACAAAAAAGGTTTTCAAGGTAAGTAAAGTAGATTTAGTGATTATATATACCAGCCAATGTTTCAATTTTTTTACAAATTTACGGTAATTACTGGGTATAAACATGATAAATATACACCATCGTGCATCTTAACCTCAAAATCGTTGCTTCTACAGTTTAATTAGTTTAGAAAAAGTCGCACATTTTTCTCTCAGTCACAACGGGGGTAAGATGGCCATCTCGGCAATGAGGAGAAGAAAATACATGTTCCAGTAGCGAAAGTGAAGAAGACGTGCTTTTGACTACTGAATTCGATAATTCCATGGAGGACTTCAATGAATATAATACTGCAAAGAAAGATAACTGGATTTACTGTGTAAAGGCGGAAATACGCATGCCTCTTGCTTGCACAATAGCATGCAAGTAGCTTGCAGGAGATAGTTCCTGGTATGTGTATTTATTAAAAGGCATGCCTGTAGAAGGCGCGCAAGTAAATTGCACATCATTTGATTTTTTGGCATGCAATGTGAGCCAGGGGGCTTCGGGGGAGTTCAAGCGGCATGTCGGAACGTGTCTACTTGCTACCTACTGACATGCCAATAAGCCATATACCAACAAGGCATTCCATTTTACTTGCAAATGTATCAGCAGTGTGCCATCCGCCGGCATATGCCATTTCTTAGCATGCAAGTTACTTACCTATTTTACTGGTATGTGTATTTCCGCCTTAAGATGTAAATTTTGGTTACATGAATCATGTACGTTATTTATTGATTTATGCAAAAAATGTGGAAACTTTTGTTTGAAAGAGAAGTCGTCTATATAAATTTATCTGGTATTTAAAATATTAATAATATTTTTGTATACTTCTTTTACAATATGTTATTTATGGTATTTTTATTTTATTTATTTGTTTTGATAATAAAAATCTTATTTAAATAAGTTTTTGCAATATGGCTAAATCACCCGAAGTCTTATGGCTATCTCTCCCTTACCTTGGGGGGAATATGGCCAATCGCAGTAGTTTTTATTTTTTTTTCAAATTACGAACATACTATTCAAGCAAATAAATTGCCCACTTCGCTACTGATGTATAAGTAATTACCCAACGTATATTGTAACGGTTCATATTTGCCGGTATTAGAAATTAAAATTATCAAGGGTCACAATGTATAGGCAATTCTGAATACATCGAAATAAAGTAGTAATCGAATTCATTAGGCGAGGAACTAAGAGTTTTTAGTGGGAACGGAAAAAAAATGATGGCAAAAAAAGGATAGGCGAAGCCGGCAAGGCACGAAAAGATAGAAAGGTTATTCGTATGAAAGCCGTTATTAACAATTAACGAAACCTTTACTTATAAGATCTAAGGTCAGTAAGAAAATTAATTGCAACAATATATTCTTTATTATTTAACGTATTTTAGGTTTTTTTGTCTCTATACAACTGGTACATAAATACATGAATTAATTGTATACGGGGCGTTGCCTCCCTTGTCACCTTGTCAGCCGGCCACCAAATTTGAAGCGAGTTGCGTCATGTGCCTGTCCGAATTGCTGATGTAATTGCCCTACATGGTTTATATACCGCTTTAGACGCCATTTCGTTCCCACCCTGGATGGTTGATGCACTTATACTTACCCTAGAATGGTTCATCTACCGTATTAGACAACATTTCGTACCTTCTGTGAGCACCATTATGTAAAATGCCCGTATCTGTAGATGTGTTGATAACCATATATCCGTGAGAAACAAAAGGTAATGCCGTTAAACCATTGCTGGGAATCCATCGTGAGTAGAAAGCCTTTTCTTGTCAA